TCGTTACCAAATAAATTTATTGTGATGAACTAGACCAGAACGTGATAAAATTTGGCAAAGAAGCGTCCTCGCAAAATTCACTCTAACGTAATTACTCACCGTGATAATCTACAAATGTTTTTTTTTACTACGGTTTTTAACACATTGGTATTTCTGTACTCAAAAGAAAATTAATGTTTATACAGAAAGTTCAACTAGATTAAATATCTATATACAGTATGGCCTATTAAGAACCAGTTTTGAAAATTTTCGACACGCAGATTCTGAAGCCGACATCAAAATTACTTCGTCAAGTCAGATTTTCAAGATATCCGAATATAAAAGTGCGACAAACACGGTATTTACATCATGGAGTAATTTTCCTCACAAATACTGCTAAAAACTATACTTTTAGATTAAGATATATCTAAAACTGTGATGGAGTAATTCTGAGATGAGGATTCTGATTCAGCGCATCAAAAATCTTCGCTAAAGTACAGTCCGATTTCTGATTTAAAATGTTAACTTTATATAGGCGTATGTTTTGGGAGCGATTTTTCTGAAAATCTAATTTTGTGGATATTATTCTATTATGATACTTCTATGTTTCGACAGATAGTACAAGTTTTTGTGACCATGTGTATTGTTACTTACAGAAGCTAACAAGTCGTAATTGTGCAGAGAAAACGTTTTTACACAGTTTATTGAGGAGTGGTATTTTACGTGAAAAAACGCTGTACCTACACACCTAGCTATTATTATAATATTAATACAGAAGTTTATGTCTAACTTATGTCTTATTTATCTCTTACGGTAAAGTGTTAATTTTTAAAAACTATAAAATGCGGGTTTTTTAGTTAATGTAAAAATACGAGGGTCGTTTGATAAATTCTTTAAGACTAATGAAATAAAAGTTTGTACAAAAATCGAAAAAGAAGAAAAGACAATTACAGAAATGAGCTTTGAGTGGTATCATAATACATAGAGTATATGACATAAGATGGAATTCCGTTCATCTTTACGCAGTTACAATAAATTTCAATGAAGTATGTGCCATGCCCGTTACAGATTATCATATGAATAAATATACGTATACGTAGGCAGAGCGCGCACATACATATGTAAATAATTAAGCACTTCCAAAGCGTTTTATTAATCACGAAGTTCGAAATCGGATATGTAGATCAATCCACAGTTAATTTCAGAGACGCGTAAGTCGGTCATGCAATTTATTTTTAATTCCAGTAAACTCAACACTTTTAACTCGTAGGAGCGAGTGGGAGAGGTGCAGTTGAGGTATGGTGGGGGACATTGCACTCAAATAATATCACTAAATGAGATATCAACAACCCAAGAACATGTGGTTACATTAAATATCTATCTCCATTAGCGTGTAATTTAAAAAGTTCTGGTATATCCCGAATATTTGAAAAGTTATATACAGTATCAGTATTGTAGTCCAAATAAAGTTAGGTTCTTCAAATAGACTAAATCAAAGTCGACAAACTCCTTAGACACTGATGCATTTTCCGTATTACATACAGTCAAAACCCAGCCTCAATCCAAAGAACGAGCTTTCCAGTTCCTCATTAAATAAATAGACGTATATTTCACCTGTCGCAATTCAACGCTGTTTCGTCCATAATTTACATAATATGAAAGGTAGGCACCATTTATTATGGTGTTCTCACTAGGACTCCTAGCAATGTTTATCAACTGCATCGTGCCACAATTGTAAAATAAATTTAAATTACAAATATGCCGTGTCGTGTACATATATAAAAATTCCGCCGTGTACCGTTCGAAACAGAAAGTCAGCAAAAACATCGCTAGAATTTTTTTTAATCGCCTGGAATCCACTTAACCCGCTTCTCAGCTTAATTGTGTTAATAAACTCCGTGAGTACATTGCAATTTCGTACGCCATTTACCTCTCTCGTGGCTGACAACTCTCATCAGAATGAATAAGCTGGTGTCGACTGTCTATCTTTGTTAGGGATGTAATATATTATTGCATATTAGTCTTCTCTCCACTATTTTTTACCTCAGATTGAAGCTCGACTTAATTGAACTTGACTGAGAATGATAAATTAGCTGGCTATTTATTGATAATAAATTTTCAGACAGTATAAATGCAAAAGTTTATTTAAAATTAGCAATATATAATAAGGCCAAGGACTGATTTAAGGAAAATTTTACTCCTAGATGTATTGCAAGCTACAGAGCATTTCAATAAACATTGGCTTAATAATGACATCTAATGATTTCATTAAATGTTACCTTAATATTAGGTAAAATCAGTTATTCTTGCTAGCAGATGTTATTTAAAGCCTGGTCCAGATCTGCATACTATTGTCCGTGACAGAAACATGTATATGAAAACTGTATGTAAGCATTTGCATAAAAACATTTTTGGAATCCAGTATCATCATTCATTTTCTGCTGTATTGAAAGATTTTCAGGATGTACTCTATCGAAAATGTCATCCTACAACGTCTTTTATTTCTCATTAAATTAAATTCAGGTATAGAAGCCTGCAAAAATTCCTGTAGTTGCGTCACTTTGAAATATATTATTTGATCTCTGCAATATTAAAACGGAATTAATAATATTTTTCGTCGCGATTTGTTATCTTTGACTAAACTGTTTCGTTTATTCTAGAATACACGAAAAATGGGATTCCCCTTACTGTGTCGTCTGAAAAAATAAGATTCTGAAGAAAAATTAAATTCTGTTTATAGGTGATGATGCTGCTACCTACTATTGGACTTTCATCATAAATAGTCAGTTCTATGTAAATAGCACATACGTTTTGATTGGAAATGACCTAAGTACTAAATCTACAAAAGAACATTACGTGCGACTTCAGAAAACTCAGAAAGCTTCTTTGATTTTAATCATAAACTGTCACTTTTACGGAAATAACACAAAAGTTTTGATTGGAATTGGTCCGAGTACAAATTTTTCATTTTTTCTCACGTTTTGTTGGCCACCTCGTACACCACTACTAATAATTGCTTCAGATAACGTCCAGTAAAATGCAATTTTATGCAAACACGTCCCCCATGCCGTCGTCCCGTGCGGGCAAAGTTTATCTCGACAGTATTCCCAGGCAAATTCTAATTAGATGGAGAAAGCTGTAGACATAAATTCGCCTGAAATGTGTGTTTCAATGTCGAAATCGATACTTATTGGCGGCTATTTAGGTCTCTGACTTGCCGGATTGGGGTCTCGAATTAAGGCCTAATGCCATTTTCCGTTATCGGAGACAGATCTAAATGATAGGTTTAGTTCGCTGATGCGGTAGCAAATGGAGGCGGTCTCGGTTTTCTCGCTTGTAATCGCATTTCTTGCTTACCGGGTCAGTCAAAGTTTATGCACCTAATACCAGTTTTTTACAGACTTTCTAATGATGTCAGTACCGATTCATGAATAACATAATTAACTACTTTCAATGAAATAGAAAGATGTGTCTGTCAAATCCCTCTTTGATTAATGAAATCATTATCATCTTTTTTTTCACAATTCCTTCTGATGTATCTTTCTGATGGACAGCAGATGTATCCGTTGCTTATTGGCATTGTCACAGTGTCTATCTTGAAGAAGACCAATTTATTTTTTTTTAGTTATATTAAATTAAAGACGAAACATAGTTGTGTCGATATGTTTAATAGTGTGGAATTTTTATCTATTTGTACCATAATGGGTGTTTTTATATGGAAATAGCATCTTCAAGATGTTATCTGTTTGTTACGGAATTTTTGTAGGTTTTTCATTCTTCTTTCTTGAAAATCGATCAATAAAATAACATTCATGTTTATACTAGTGATTATCCTTTAAATATGTTGATACAATTCCACTGAAGTAAAATATATGTAGTACTTTTGTTTGCCCGATAACTTTAACCATAAAGCAAAGCAAATTAAAGAGTTTTTCGTTTCTTTTTAAAATCTATAATGGGTAATCTTTAAGTATTTACACAGACAATATAGCTTTCGCCACAGACCGCGTTTTAATGCTGGAAATTGGCAACCTAAAATGGATGCAGGGTCTTGTTAGCCGGCATCCAGCAGTAAAATTTAGGGTGGTAACTCTTCTACTGGGTAATAGGAGGCAGTTGTAGCGATAGCTTTGTTGCCAAATAAATTTAATGCATTTAATTATACCGGGTGTCCCATTAAACTATTTATCCTATAGATTTCGAGGAAAAAAATTTATGACTAATGTGGCCACTAAAAATTCAATAAAATTATTTTTAACTTCTAACTTTGGCCGCTAGAGGTCGCCTTTCTAAAATAAAAGTAAAAAGCTGCTTTATTTTTAAAAAATCAAATGGAAGGATAGATACAACTTAATGTTTTCGAGATCTGCTCATTCTTCAAAATTTTTGTAGGAAAAATTTTTCTCAATCTTAAAAAATAAAGGAAGGGGGGTGGAAATTATTTCATATGACAAAAAGTAAGATAACTATGGATTACGTAAACCGATTTCAATGAAGTTGGGCTTGTTGAAAACACAATTGATTGCTTAATCATAACCTTAAGTTAGCCTCCAAGGTTTGACCAGAACATAATGCATTGATTGTCATGGATAATGCGCTCTCCATGGACAAAAAGTGAAGCAGGCCATCTTTGGCAACAAGGGCAGAATTGTTGAATTTAGTACAAACAAGAAAGTACCTACCTACCTGTCGAATAATCCAATTTCTACCAAAATCTTCATAGCAATTTGATGTTCTGCATTTAACAATTCTCAAACCCTCTTAAATGTTACGATCATGGGATCACAATCGCTGCACCAATCTACATGGACCTGGAGGATGTCTTGTCGGAGATCTTTAAGAAAGATTTTGGTGTGCTTCCTTCTCCAACTTCTTCCAGCCTTGTATACAGTAGCATATCGGCCAAATGGGCTTCTCTCGACACCGCACATAACAGTACCGCCAGAGGCTCTAGCGTGGCGGGGCGGAACGGCTTCGGCAGACACGCGGAACAGCCCGCTGCTTCAGTTCTTTGACAGAAGTGGAGGATCGCCTCTCATTGACTGAACCGACAGGTGCTGGTGGCATCGTAGTAGCCTTCGTCTCGTCTCTCTGAAGAAGTGTGACGGTTTGGCGCTCCGGTCGAGGTTGTGCGGTAGTGGCTTTTTTTTGGATCGAGTTGTTGATGTTTTGAGTGGCTGAAGATGTGCGACCGCTTCCCGAGGTTAAGGACTGACTTGTTTTGTTCTCTCTGCATTGTCTTGCTGCATTTGGTAAGTCGCTTTAAATCGGAAGTCGCGTATTTTATAGAAAATAGTATTTTCTTCTAGGAAATTTTTTTTTTAATAAAATGGTTTCAAAATGATTCGTGTAAATTCCAGCAAAAACGTTTTTCTCTCACAGATAAACAAAAATATATAAAATATGTATTAATAGACATCCTTAATTGAAACTTGCTATAAAGGAATTTCCTTGTTGAGCGTTGCAATATAAAGACAAGCGTATTTTAATTTAAAACAATTCATTCATTCCAGGCAATAAAGTGGGAAAGGTGTTCATTTTCAAACAGTAAGCATTAAAAAATTTATATATTGTGCCTTAATATCTTTACCTTGTTGGGAACTCGTTTCCAAACACTGTTAGACTGAACAAAATGGAGATGGCATAGTTTTAACCAAAGAATGAACGCTGCGAAAAATTGGTGGCAACTTTAAACATATTTTTTAAATGTTTTGAACTATAATCCATTAATCCTAACTTTATCACATATAGCATAAATTCTTTATAAAAAGAACTGTTTCCTCACTGTTTCTTTATAGAACCATTACTGATTCTGTTGACAGTTTAATTAATGATTAATTAGAAATACATAACTATAAATCTAGAGAACATTTCCATATTTTGTACAGTGGAAATTAAAAATTCCGCATACCCACAACCGTGTCAATTCGATAAAAAAACAAGCGCCATCTACACTACTATTAGATCATATTGCTTTTAACACATGTCGCATCTCAAAAATTAAATAAGATCAACAACAGACAACATACATATTTTTTTTATATCCAAAAATTTCCACGAAAATTTTTTTTCTGTAAGAAATAATTGATTTCTCTGAAAAATACATCCTTTATAGGGTTATATAAAATGGACTGATATAATCCTTGTAATATCAAATGATATTCCGTGAAGTTTTAAAGTACCTAATTGACTTTTTAGCCCATATTGTACCAGAAAAAGGAAATAATAAAATATGTTATTGGGATTTATGGCTCTTTAAAATATTTTTTTTTAATTTTATGTCAGGTTATGGAATTTGCTATAAATAGAGAAGATTATCTTACTTGCCGACATATTACACGTCACACATATTCAAGTGGGTACTTAAATTATTAAGTCTAGCCAAAGATACACATCTCGTGTCTAAACTCGTATATAAATCGCTAAGCTATTTGCGGATTTATGGCATTCTAACCGGTTACGTTTCAAAACCGAAAATAATAGGCAATATTTAAAAAGAACCGTTGGAATAATTACTGTAATATCGTGCTTTGTGTCGAATTAATTTAAATCTTTACCCGACCTGACCTAAAAACGTTAAATTCTGTCAACAGCTGACGCAAACATATGTTGTTATTTTGTTCCATAATAATTACGATACGTTTAATTTTATTCGGTGTCTAGGCCAGTCGTGGTGAATTCTAATATATACACAAGCCTGATAAGTGTATGGTGATGAGGCTGCCTCTTTTCAAGTATTAAGAAAGGGTTAATCATCGGTTTGGTTCGGATTTCACCAAGTCTCGAATCTAGTCAACACCTTGGAGATTCGATGTTGGTATATAATTAAGAAGATTGGACGTTTTAACTATATAGTATCATACATTTCTTCGACAAAATCCAATAGGCCACTTTGGTCAGTTTAATAAAAAATATTTGGACATACCTAATCAAACTCCGTTTAAAAATTTGCCTAATGATATAATATACGGGGTGGCCAAATGAAAACGAAACAGAGCCATTTTCAGGAACTGCGTCAAAATTGCAGAAAAACGCTTAGACCCGTCGATTTTAGAATAAAGGATTAAAGGGGAACATTCTTTGCTGAAATTTTTGACTCCTCCACTTTCACCCCCAAGCAAGGGTAAGCCCAAAATATTTAAATGGCATTGGGGGTGGAGTAATATTTCTTTTGAAAGCTCTTACAATTCTCTTCACAACAGACCTTAAAATTTATAATTCCGCCCAATACTTGTTAAGAATTTTGATTTTAAATTTGAAACTTATGTACAAACAATTAGTAACGGTAAAAATGTCAGTCATTCGAGTTAAGTACGCCAATCGTATAAATTTAGTATTTCTTGCGTTACATTGGTTTCTGGCGATTTGTTATCACTTTCGTAAAAAAACACAATTGTAAAAAACAAAAATGAATGCTATACACACACAACGAACGTAAAATTACTGGATTCCAAATTATTTTCTGATATTATTTGGAAGCGTTGGTTGGTAGTTTATTTAATTGTGTTTTTGAAAATTAAACACTATGATTTATTCCATTGCGGAAAGGGTAGATATCATTTCGCTTTACTTTATGAACAATAAATGTGCGAATAGAACAGCTCAGCTATTTAATGAACAACATCAAGAACGACATGTCAGGTGGAAGTATGTTCTAGAGTTAGTAAAAAAATTTCAAGAGACAAGGAACGTAGCCAATAAAAAACGAGAAATTGAAAAACCTATAGCTAATGAAGCTAGTGAAGTTGCACTTTTGGGACAAATTCATCTTGATCCTACATCCATCTGTGTCTGGGATCAATCGAACTAGCAAACAAACCATTTTGAAGAAGAATAAATTCCATCCATACAAAATACATTTAGCCCACAAACTTCATGAGAATGATTATGACCGCCGTTTGCAATTTTGCGAAATAATGAGTGACCGAGCAGGGAACGATCCACAGTTCCTTTTTAACATCTGTTTTTCTGATGAATGTAGTTTTTTCTTGAAATCTATAAACCACGAATGCCGTCGAATCACTCCGGAAATGCTTCGGAATGTGCGCGAATGTTTTGAACAAAATCTTTATTCTTGTATGGAAGCGGGCGGTCATCAGTTTGAACATTTAATCAACTAAGTAGTAAGTAAGCAACTAAACATAATTTAAATTTTAAAATGTAATTTTTTTTCAAAGTATTGGGCGGAATTATAAAATTTAAAGTCTGTTGTAAAGAGAATTGTAAGAGCTTTCAAAAGAAATATTACTCAACCCCCAATGCCATTGAAATATTTTGGGGTGATGCTTACCCTTGCTTGGGTGAAAGTGGCGGAGTCAAAAATACCAGCAAAGAATGTCCCCCTTTAATCTAAAATCGACGGGTCTGAACGTGTTTCTACAAATTGACGCAGTTCCTGAAAATGGCTCTGTTTCGTATTCATTTGGCTACCCTGTATTACAATACAGTGCAAGTCTTTAAAACAAGTGCAACAAGTTTAATGTCCTCACTATTGCCATATCTTAATTTTTGCTAAATTCAGAGATTCTTATCTTAATCGATATAAGTATTTTTAATACATGGTTATGCCATTCTATGCAGAAACTGGCGTAACCTCAAAGGAATAAATTGAACGAACCAAATTTGGAGTCCGCTGGTGATTTAAATGCGCTCCATATACATAATTCAAATCATCATCTCCATTGCAACTATGCAATATCTGAATGAGGCCAGCTCAAGAACTGAACGTAATAACTTTTCCATCCAATTATTCTAAATCTATAGCACCAGTTTCGCGTTACAGTTAGGAATGGGTGCAAAATCAAAGGTAAATCTACTGCGATCCTTTATCGTAACGAGGATCGGCCTCTGCTTCAATTTTTGTCCTTAGCCTTCAGTAAAGGCGTTCACAATGGTATCATTTATCACATTTACTGAGCCGCGACTGCTTGTTGCTGTTAATACACGGAGAAAGGGTTATAGTATGTTCCCTGAGCTTTGTCCTTCTAGTAATTTAAAAAATTCGCTTCAAGTAGTACCTGTGCATGAACAGTTCGTAAACTACGGCCGACATCTATTTATTTTATCAACCGGTACAGCTTGCAGACTATGTGGAATATCTTTTAATATTTAATGAAGCAATAAAAAGCTAGAGTATCGGTAAATAAGATTATTAATCCCCCTATTACAATGATAATACAAGGAACAAACGGTCTGCGATGTCTGTGAGACGTGAAACTGTAATGTCAACTATAAAATAATGTCACTAATTGAAAACTAGTCGTCTTACGTAACAGTAAAAGTAAACTGTAACTCGGCATAAAAAGAACTTATTCGAGGATGGTTCACCGATACCGCCATCGACCATATTCTCGCTATATACGCAAGGGATCGCGATTCTTGTTACGGATTTACTTTCACCCCGTTTGATATGGAGCAGGTGGCAGATCTGCCTCGCTTGGCGATTATGACGAGTGAAAAAGTTGTTATTTACTGAACAATTCTCTTGGCTGGGAAGTGTCTTGCACGAGTGCCCCGTTGTCTTAACGAGCAAAAATGAGGAAGAGTTAATCCTATTATTAAATAATTTGAAAGGTATGCGCTGAGGTCTTAATGACGTCCTTAAAAATGAAAGAATTCGTTATTTTCTACGGAAAGTTGTCTTGGTCAGTTTAAGAAGTATTAATTTAAGAAAAATAGGTGTTTATCCTACACATACACCAACAAAAACGCAAGATCTCAGCCTCATGTACTTACATTTTTAGCAATACAATACAATACAAGATAATTCATGAAAAATGTAATTTTTATACCACTAAAATAATTTTAGGTTTATGCTGGAATCAAAAAATTTCCTGGCTTCCGGTATTGCTATTTTTGTACGGCATTAGGTCGAGGTTAATTTTTTTGCATAACCTATATACATACTTTAGAAATACCGTACAAAAATGTTTTCCCAAAAACCACCCCCCTTGGTGGACAGGTTTAGCTTACCTTTGTACTCACCTACACCAACAAGAATTGGCGGCATAGTTTCTAACGGTGTTGTTATATGTGGTAGTATTGATTTATAAGTAATTCGTGCTGGGTCAAATGACCCCTTGAAAATTTCCGATGGGCTTGTAGTCTATAACCAACAATTCTATGCTTTTCATTGTCCAACTTTTGCCACCTATAGGCTTCCATGTCAAGACAATAAACATCTCATTATCACAAAAAAAAAGAAAATTTATTGTCGCGTCTTTCCCTTTCCGCATTGAGTGTAATGGAGCTATACGGTTTATGACCATGACGATAACTGGAACTTGGACACAATCAAATAAATTTCTAGCTGCGTTGTGCACATGCCAACCTAAAGGAATGGACAATCAAAGCGTAATATATGAAGCAGTTCATATTACGTTCCAATTCGATAATATTTATTCGATAACAGTATGGTTTTACTGTTTTAACAGAGGTTTCAATACTTAGATTTAATTCTCGACTGGTAAAAATAACTAAAAATGAAAAGTTGTCAGTTTAGAAGACGAAAACAAAATGATTTTCGAAACGTCAAGCTATTTTCATAAAAATAACCCTTAACTGATCCAAAATTATAATCCTTTTTTGCAAGAAAAGTTGTAAGAAATGTATTTAACTCTTTGTATTTTTCTTCTTGCTCTTATAGTCCTTATTGTTCTTTCTTAAAGTTTACGGTAATGTGGTATTTACCACTGAGACGATTTTTCTCTAAGGAGTGGTCATTTATAGTGCAAGATAATTAACATTAAACTTATATAATAATACGTCTTATTGTTTTCCCACCGTAATTATCGTTAATTTATTGAATCGTGAAATATTAATTACTTGCTTAAAAGGTACAGATCATTCATTAAGTTGTGTCACTGATAATTCATTAAAAAGCAATTGAAAGGAAAATATTTTTATTACAAGTTGCAACGTCACTGTAGTTATTTAGATCGTGAGATAAACATCGAATATTTCTGCTCAAGGATCTCAAGGAATTGCGAGAATTTTTTTTATCGCTATCTTAAAAGATTTTTGATAACTAATTTCTGCTTTTCCTTATAAATATATTCAATAGAACTACTTATTAAAAACAAGTTGAAATAAGTAGCATAGAAATTACAGTAACTACAATTTCCAAATTAGTTTATACATATTTGCTGCTGAAATATTTAATCTGTAGTATATGTATTTATTTTATAAATAATTTTGCTGCTAGATATATGAATATTTTAATATGAAACTTATGAATATTTAACTTATCTTAGAAATACAACTCACATTAAAAAATCATCTCTAGATTAAGCAATTATCTCTGCATTAATTACTATTTGTTTAAAAGTTAGCATAATTGTATTAAATTATGAAATTAATAAGGAAGTGCTCTATTCGCGGACGCTATCAGTTTCTTATTGTGTTTATCTGCTCTGTTTTCCATGGAAATAACTATAATTTGCTCAGCAGCTCGTTCGATGTTAAAGTGAACCAGCGTAGGAAGTCAGTAGATGAAGCCCCGGAGGAGAGTTTATTTTTATACCTACATATTTGCAATGAGTCCTCAATGATGTTAAAAGATGTGTTGAAAAACCCAGGAAACGTTTCAAAAATTTATTGAACTTGCACGTAATTAACTAGGTACTTAACGTTTACCAGTTTAATTATCGTAAGGATCGTTAACTAAACTCATTTGCATTAAAAAAAATAAAATGTCGAGTAATATTTGTTTCCTTTCTAAACTAATGCTGATGGGGTTACAAAGGATCAGGGCAGGATTAAGGAAACGTTGCCGGACAAAATTCTTAAGGAGCCCTTTCCTATTTTTTTTTAAGGATTTATGTGACACTGCTGTGTCTTCAGAAGTGAAACAAATTATTATAGTTCTGAAATATTGCTTTGATATTTGCAAACCATCTAGATAAAGACATGAATACACAAGGTGTTTTCTAAATCTATGTAGTAACTTCAGAAGAGTTTTCTTTGGGTCTTAAACCAAAAAACCTTAACAATACAAGGATATAAAGTCACTGGTTTCGAGATATAGTGTTTAAATTAAAAATATCACATTGACTTGTATTCCTGAAACATGAGCTATTCACCGAACTGGTAACGACAAATCAATCCGGCTACTAAACTTACCGTCTTACTCTCGCAATTCACAGTTGAATCATCCTGATTAAATTGGATTAAAAGAATTTATGGAAAGTAGTTTCAAATACAGTATCTAATTAGGAAATCGAGGACAGAATCTGAATATACAGTCTTCAGTGGTCTTAATTTTCATAAATATTCTAACTATTGAACCACCTGGGCATCTGGTATACAGTATACAGAAAACCACAGTATCTGTTACGCTCGTCAGTTTCTATTATTCCACATTTTATACAATGAAATCACCAACATTATGCTATGGACTACATTTTATTCAGAATTTAATTAGTGGTATTGTATTGAAGATTGGACATGAATACGGTAAATGGAGTTTATTATAGAAACCACAATAGTTAGGAACATTTAACGAAAAAGCTAAATAAATTCGAGACTTTAAATAAGGTTTTTTTAAATTCTTCAAATATACGCTTAACTAACACGAATTATTTAAATAAATACCTAGTTATTGTCAACAAAGCTATAGAAAATAATCTATAATTCCTTTTTTATTTCTTGTTAAGTTGTTAACATACACAACAGGGCAAATTTCGCGCAAATCAAAAAGAATCACGCTTGATGTAGAAAGGGATGAAAATGTAGACAGAAGGTAACCCCACTTCTCTACTTTGCCACTGCGCATCCTATTCTCAGAGCTCAAGTGAATATGGTTTATCTCTATATCTCAATGCAGATAGATATTGACAAATTAATTTGTAAAAAATCCCTTAGGCAGAAAATATTATACAATTATTCATAATAACCAATTAAAAATATTTTAGAAATATTAATTTTATAAAGCGCCGTTTCCATTTTTAATTATATTCAATCATCAATTGATTGAAAAAATCAAATCATTTTTTTTTTACTTTTTTATTTCTGCACCTACCTACTTGCATTTACGTATTTTTATGTACTCTGTATCCTCGTAAACCACGTGAAATCATACTTCATGGAAGTGGTTTTTCGCATAGTCGCCGTGGAAAATCAGCTCCTATTAAAACTGTTACTAACAATCTTATCGTGATTTTTGCTCCGACTTAATCGATCCATTCAAATGGATGTAATTTTCCAAGTGCGTGGACATGGTACTCATAGCTCCGAAGAAAATTTTATGTAAATGCAAGTTACAAACGTGTCCAATAAGACAGGTAGTCTTTTACTGATTTTCTTCAACTTATTGGAATAGATATATTCATTCATATTAAATATGTTCCGACAATTTTAAAAGCTCTATTTCTCAAAAAGCTCTATCACTGTCAAGAAATTCTTCAAATATTTTATATTTTTCTGTAAAAATGTGCACCTTTTCATTGACTAGGTACTTAAAAAAATATTTGTGGAAACATGGAAACACTTTTTTTGGTTACATTAAATGACATTGCTTATTTAATGTAATCAAAAGAAACTTTCATTTACTGAAACGTCAGTTTAACAAAATTTTATTAATTTGGAGGACAGTTACTTGCTCTAGATACTTCTCTGAAATCAAAAACGAGCTTCAATCCTTTTTATTTTTTTTTTGTTGCCGTTGAATTATCTGTCTTTTATGTCGTTGTTAAGAATTTCTCATCCTCATCATGTAATTGATTAATTAAACAAATCATGTAACGATAAATTATTGCCCAACGAAAAGTAGATAATTAATCACAAATAAAACGAGGATATGTATTATTAATCTTCACCATTAAGGCTAAGGCGTATTTTGTAATAATTTCATCTGGTTTGAAAGTAGCTATTAACGGTTCCTTTTGTTTCAGAGCATAGTTGCAGCGCAAGATTACGAAGGTAAGAACATTTGTTTATTTTACTATTAACCAGAAATTTCTTTATTTAACCACTGGAAAGCAACAGAAAGAGTTTCTAGTAAAGTCCTTAAATTGACAAAAATTTATTGTAAACTTTTCTATAGTGGTATATTTTTCTCATCACCATCATAAGTGATCTAAATACCTTAGGCGTATACAGTTAACGACAAAACTCACAGAAGAATAACTGAAAACAATTTTCTATCCCCAACGCGTCACCTTAATATCTCGGATACATTCTCTTTCTGCAGCTTAATGTTCCTGATCTAGATTCGGTAGGTGTTTTTGTGCATTCTTTCACTAATCCGCCATCCAACCTTGTAATTTAACATACCGAGAATTGAATTAGACACTAATATAAAATGCAACAAGAAATATATCGCGTGTAGGTACGTAACCTACTCAAGGCATCCGTTAAGGCCGCTATTAGCATAACACAGATCTTTTCGAGTTCTCTGTGACAACACAGTGACAGGAGTGAGGAAATAACGTCTTGGGTTAATCTGAAGTTCAAGCGAACACTTAAATGACGTAATAATATTAATAATACTTAGGACAATGTCGGTTGTCTTCAGTTTAAAGCCAGAAAGAAGTGTAATGCAGTGTCTTGAATAATGTGCTATAAAAACATCTTTTGTTTTAGGCATAAAGTTGTAGAAACAACAGTCGTTTGTTGCTTAATGTGATAATAAAATTTTTTAATTGTTTTACCTTGACTAGCAATGCAAATATTGGAAATATATAGATACATTTAATTGATTTTATTTATATAAAAGTAATGTAACATTATTAATAAAAAATACCAAATCTCTGCATTCGTAGATTCATGATCCAAAACCAGTTAGTAAACGCAGGATAACTAAAGTGTAACAGCTGACAACAAATGTTAATAACAACCTCGAAGATTGAGATCGCCCTGAACTTGGTTATTACATGTGAAATTATATGCGTAACCGGGAAGAACACGCACCGTGAACACCGAAAGCAATAATAAACAAGTTCCTATCGTGTGCCATTATTATGTGGTGAGAGGCATCTTCAATCAGGGAACGGTTGTTTTACTTGGTGGCTTCTAATAGGCTTGGACAACTAATAATCTGTTCCTCCCTAGTGTTAACTGATATTAGTCATTTACAAATTGCAACGTTAATTCAAAGAAAGGAGGAAGGTATCAGAAGATATTTTTTAATTAACGATATTGTGCATAACCAGCAGACATACATATCGATTTAGAACTAATTAGTAATCACAACTTTGCCACAGGAGGGACAACTGACGTATGATTTAACATATGTCCACTATGGTGTGAGTATAAGTGAGATACAACATACAGAGTGTGCTGCATATTCAATGGTGAGCGGTTTACTAGATACTGTTTGTTGAGGCATTAGTCCGCAGAGAAGTTTCATCATTAACACCATTAATTAAAAGCTTTATTTCCCCTAGCTCTCATAGTACAGTGTTCTTGATTGAATGAGGCGTTTTAGTAAAGTAATTATAAGGTTTGGTAATTTATTAACTATGATATAAATAAATAAAAGCGCATTTATTTTTAGTCATATTTTCACCGGCTCCTTCGCCAAAATATCGATTCTATATCCTATTGTCTATAACAGTAATTTTTAGTAGACTTTCAAAAGAAAACGTTTCCAAAATGGAAGTCGGCATATGAAAAACTCCTTTTTAATTAATATAAGGATTGTTACTGAAACATATAAGTTAACTGTATCAAGTTCCTTACGAGGAAAAAGTAATTCGTCAATTCGTTCATTTTTTACCAATAATTATTCTCAAAAACTGTCCTTAATAACACTTTTCCAGACTTTTAAAGCATATCATATTGACCCAATTATACACCATAATAGACCATCTTTTTGCCGTTCACTTAATGTCACGCTCCTCGCCTGCTTAAAAAACTGGGCCCATAAAAAAAACAATTTCACAGTGAACGACATCTAACAGGAAATTCCTTTTGTAGTCACGGAGATTCAGTGCACGTTCGCCATCAGCAGCAACGCGGGGACAAGGGATTCGATTGTGGCGAAGCTGAGGAAACCCGACGGTTTTAAAGGACATCCCCTGTTCGCGGACGACAGGGGTGTTGATCCTGAAAGCGACCTATCCTGCCAGATACGGCCTGACACTTCTGATCCGTCTGGATTGAAGTACAATCTGAGAATCTCGGATTTCTCCAGATGTGGGGTGTTAAAACGAAACGTAAGTAATATGTATTAGTTAATCTACAACAAAAACAGTAATAATGTAAAGATAAATAAATAGTAAATGAAACAAATATATGTACCTCTGAAGAAATTAGTGTTTCGTTGAAATAATAACGACTATTCGTTGAGTAATATTGTTTTTCGATCTAATATTTCATTTATTTAACTTCTAAGTACAATTTAATGTAAAAAGAGCGAATTCTCGAGCGGCTTCTGCCTGACTCTGAGTAATATACAGGTATTTAGTTAGTTTCTAAATATTATCATTCTTCATATCCTTCCCCGTTATAAAGTGCAAAAAAATGTCTACTAATAATTTTATACTAATTCGATTTGACTATAATGCCAAACAAATGTTCTTCGTTGTCCGAAATATATTATTATGTCAGGGTAAAGTAAATGTCCATTTGAAATTTATCTCTAAAATCAACCATTTACATTGTCACCTCATAGAGATACATTTAGATGTCTTTTACCGGCCTATCCTTTCAAGCGTAACCACATATTTCTCCAGCAATTCCCTGTTATCGAAGTATTATATCGAGAAGCTATACGACTCCTACCATTCACAGCCATATAAGCAGCGGAGTATCTGCAGAACTGCAGAAAAAAACCGCTTGTTTAGCGATACCGAACACAAAATTAGTTCCTCGCTTTTCCTAAGACATAAAATTAAAACCGTTTCGTTATCTTTATGTAAATCTTACGCGTTTCTACGAGAACGTGAAGTATCAAATAGGTTAAGCTAAAGCTCTATACGAAATGAACACGACTAGATAAAATTTTGATCAGCCAAGCGAAAATGTACTGTATTAATGTCACAACTGTTTTATTTAAAAAAGTTAAAGTGTACACGGAGAAAACAATTTGTTAACGTACTAACGTAGGTTCAAGCCAAATATGTTTAATTAAAATGTTTTGTTTTCAAATTTGTAATGCTTTGTTCTTTGTCCAAAGGCTTGTACTGAAGGTTGTAGTTCTTGTATTGCTTTCAACAAACTCCAGAGACAATTCTGGTTCACTTCTTTTGCTTCTAGGGTTTTGTCCACGTTCGGGTCTGGTTCCCACAGTTTCCTGGTGTCGTAATGCAGTCTGACCAAGAGCTTATAATAATGTGCAAGCCTCCCGAGCCTACTGTCATCGAAAACAAGGCGGCTGGTTTTGCCGGAAGTTTGTAAGTAACAATTTAACTTTTAATAACAAAATTTAAATCACATCCAAAATCTTGTAAGCACGTAAATATAAGCGATGATGGGACATTATTTCATTAGGTGGGTATAAAAAGAAAGTAGCATAATTTACTTTTTTAATTTTTGGTGTACAGCGTCACGAAATGTCGAGATTTGACTGTTATTAGTAGTAGGTCCGGCCGCAGATGACTTAATAATGGTTCACATTCATAAATACAGCTATAAACTAGGTCTATTTTTGCAAGGTCCGTTAGGTCTGATTCTTTCGTTATGGAAGAATGGATGCTCGGGTTTGAAATCTAACATTTTTTAAATGTAATTACCCGCTTGTGACAAAAGGAACCGAATTTTTTTGGTTGTGGTTATGAATTCCGAAACAGTACATTTCAAATCCTATGCACAGTTATTATAAATAACCAAATTATTTTTCTCTTTGCAGAATTGGTGTAAAAGTATATTTGTAAAATCGTGTATGTATATAAAGGAACAATGTTTTATTCATTATCCAAATTTAACCTCTCAAATTAATTTCATCTTTTTGTGAGTCAAATTTCTTATTTTGCAAATGAAATCTATCTTGTTGGAACTGAAACATGGGTTGTAACAAATATATACCTGAAACAGCAAGTAATTTTTCAGTTTGTTCCAACATGCTTTTTCAAATGAGCTTACCACTATATTAAGACTGTCTTTACATCATTATTCATTGGCTACATCAGCATAGATGAATAACTATTGGAGTAAATAATAAAACATGCTTAATTATATCTTCCAAATATGTATTTCTGCAAAATATTACACCCATATTTTATTATTTTTTTCTTTTTTGTTATTTTGCCACTTCCACTTGGTCAAGATGTTGATAGAACAGCAATTTCAAGTCCAGGTCATATCTTCTAAAGGTTTTTCCTTGAATCGTATGAGACCAAATTTTCTTAACAAACTATATCTATGAAAATGTGGAAGTCGTTGAAGTTTAAATAAAAATGTTGCGTTTAGATAATTTTAAAGACGAATTTAATTGATGAGATAGTTGATTTACATATCAGTCTATCGCAGTTATAAGAAGACAATGTCATTGGATGCTGCTCAGTACACCTCCCTATTTTGTTTACATTTTCTTATATTCAAAGATGAGCAATTATAGTGACTATTATATTATTTACAACCTTTAAGATATGTCTAAACTTTGCTATTTCCCCCAGTCCTCACGGTGCCAGAGTATCGGGTGTGGTGGAGGAGACCCCTGGCCGCTTGGAGTACGAGGTGGCCCTCTACAAAGAGGCACCAGCTACGCGCATCAGCAATGCTAGCGGCAGCGAGCTGCCAGTGGACCAAGCCGTCCCAATAGGCACGAAGCTGCAGCTGCGGGCGAGGATTAGCCCCGACTCCGCTTGGAAGTTCGTTAAGCTTATGGAGGTCACCGTGAGTCCCGATCCTGATGATCCCCACATGGCTGGAAGTGTCGCGCTGGTCAAGGATGGGTAAGCAAGTTCAATTACTAGATATTCTATTTCCTATACTTGAACTTTAAACTTTATACTTCCTATTTTCTTCTCTTTTTTAGAATTCTATGTACAATGGTATTACGTGTTGCCTTTGAATGTAATAAAACAAAGATGCATAAAAAAATTACCTCTATAATAATATGTCGTGTTGATTTAGTGGCATTATGTCAAAAGAAAATTGGTTTTTGTTTTCTATGCGACTTGACTTGTAACGGAAATTGGTGTACCATGTCACTATAGTAGCGGTGTTTGAGACATACTATGCGCATATGGTAATTATGGTAAGAATGAGTATAAAGACATGTTACTGCTGTATAGAAACAAATGAATGTAAATGAAGAAAAGACTATTTTGTGTACATGATTTCCAATGTATACAATTAAATATATACTGATTTTTAGCCAAACCAGCTAGTTTACAATAATTTATTTGAACTTACTTTTGCTCAGAGTTCGTTGCCGTAGTTCACGTTGGTCAAGAAAGTACCTCACCAGTGCAAGGAAAATACGTTTAGCGGCAATTAAATATATGACATAATTTAACCGGACATTTACATTTCGTAATTAAACCTGTTAAGCATGCGTTGTTAATGACCACTCGACACTTCCTCTGGCTGTGGACTGTGCGACAGTTACAATTCCTTGATCTCACCTAGATCTCGGCAGTATTTATGTTGAGCAAAAAGCCTGCATGGAGGCGAGGAAATATGTGCAATTTGTAAATTGAATTGTGTTCTGGTTATCAATGTGGGGCATTTGCATTCTAAAGCGGAACGGATTCGATTCGGTTTATTTATACTCGATTTATTGAATTCCTGATGGTGATTGGTAATTCATCGGACATTTCTGTCGGGACTTTGATGTCAATCTTGTAGGGATAAAATGAATTAACAATGAGAAAAAGTTTATTTTGTCTGCTATTCATAGTTTTACCCTTACTGTTGAGATATGAGCTAATTTTCGTTTTATGTTGTGCATGTGTTCCCAAAAAATTCCCCAAAAACATTTGGGAGTTTCTTAAATTGAAAATATAAATAACAACATCTTTGAGAAAAGATAACACAGTTGCAGAAATGCAAAATGTAACAATGAAAATCTGATTCCATATTCGTGGCCAAATGAAAACGAAACAGAGCCATTTTCAGGAACTGCGTTAAGAATGCAGAAAAACGCTCAGACCCGTCGATTTTAGATTAAAGGGGGACATTCTTAGCTGGTATTTTTGACTCCGCCACTTTCACCCCCCAAGCAAGGGTAAGCATCACCCCAAAATATTTAAATGGCATTGGGTTGAGTAATATTTCTTTTGAATGCTCTTACAATTCTCTTTAGAACAGACTTTAAATTTTATAATTCCGCCCAATACTTTGAAAAAAATTTACATTTTAAAATTTAAATTATGTTTAGTTGCTTACTTACTACTTAGTTGATTAAATGTTCAAACTGATAACCGCCCGCTTCCATACAAGAATAAAGATTTTGTTCGAAACGTTCGCGCACATTCCAAAGCATTTCCGGAGTGATTCGACAATTCGTCGACAATTCTTTGACGCAAATCTTCCAGCGACGCTGGCTGTGTTTTATAGATTCTACTTTTTAGGTATCTCCACAAAAAGAAATCAAGGGGCGATAAATCCGGTAATCGTGGAGGCCACTCAATGCTGCCTCTTCTCCCAATCCAATTCCGTAGAAAACGTTGGTACAAATACTGACGGACAATTAACGCATAATGCGGAGGAGCACCGTCCTGTTGAAAAATCAAATGATCTTCATCATACTCTGGAACATTTTCAATAATATCAGTCAAGGCAGGGTCAATAGCGTCTTCCAGTAATTGCAAATACATTTGGCCAGTCAAATGACCAGGTAGAAAAAAGGACCCACCAGCCGGTCACCAAAAATTCCAGCCATTTAATTTTTCCGGTTGCTGTGTATGCACCTCGTGAAAAACTCTTGGGTTTGAATCGGACCAATAGCGGCAATTGTGACGATTTACCGTCCCGTTCAAGAAAAAACTGCATTCATCAGAAAAACAGATTTTAAAAAGGAACTGTGGATCGTTCCCTGCTCGCTCACTCATTATTTCGCAAAATTGCAAACGGCGGTCATAATCATCGTCATGAAATTCCTGGACTAGATGTATTTTGTATGGATGGAATTTATTCTTCTTCAAAATGGTTTGTATGTAGTTCGATTGATCCCAGACACAGATGCCAGCTGCCTCGTACTTAATGTAGGATCAAAGTGAACTTGTCTCAAAACTGCAACTTCACTAGCTTCATTAACTATAGGTTTTTCAATTTCTCGTTTTTTATTGGCTACGTTCCCTGTCTCTTGAAATTTTTTTACTAACTCTAGAACATACTTCCTCCTGACATGTCGATCTTGATGTTGTTCATTAAATAGCTGAGCTGATCTATTCGCACATTTATTGTCCATAAAGTAAAGCGAAATGATATCTACCCTTTCCGCAATGGAATAAACCGTAGTGTTTAATTTTCAAAAACACAATTAAATAAACTACCAACCAACGCTTCCAAATGATACTAGAAAATAATTTGAAATCCACTAATTTTACATTCATTGTGTGTGTATAGCATTCATTTCTGTTTTTTACAATTCTGTTTTTTTTTTTACGAAAGTGATAACAAATCGCCAAAAACCAATGTAACGCAAGAAATACTAAATTTATACCATTGGCGTACTTAACTCGAATGACCGACATTTTTACCGTTACTAATTGTTTGTAAGTAAGTTTCAACTTTAAAATCAAAATTCTTAATAAGTATTGGGCGGAATTATAAAATTTAAAGTCTGTTGTAAAGAAAAGAGAATTGTAAGAGCTTTGAAAAGAAATATGACTTAACCCCAATACCATTTAAATATTTTGGGATGATGCTTACCCTTGCTTGGGGGTGAAAGTGGTGGAGTCAACAATACCAGCAAAGAATGTCCCCCTTTAATCTAAAATCGACGGGTCTGAGCGTTTTTCTAAAATCTTGACGCAGTTCCTGAAAATGGCTCTGTTTCGTTTTCATTTGGTCACCCTGTATATCACTTTGATAAATATTGTGTTGATGTAGGCTAATGTATTGAAGTTTTAGAGCTTTGATGAAGACGAGAATAACATCTCTCTTGAAACATGAAGAAGTTAAAACCAATGACATGGCAACCAATTAAAATTTCCTTTAAAGATAACTCATGAAATTGTTTAACCAAATTAAACCTGAAGAATTACAAATATCGCAATCTTATATCCTTTCGCAAACTCTCAAAGGGTCAACTGTAACATGATTTCTGGATATTGCTGGTGCAATTCAATGCTGGACGGGGCTTTAGTTCGCAGAGTAGTTGTTTCTCATAATATAATTAATAATTACATAATTAACCAGCTGATAATTTTAAGAAAATTTATTGATTTGATTTGAATTAGTTGAGTATCTTTTAACATAAAATAAACTGTTTCTGTTCCTAATACTAATTCAGTTCAATCGTCTTTCAGGTGTCGAAACCGAGACTTTGCGTCAATAATCCCCCACCAACCCGCGCGCTACAGGGAGAGACACAATGAAGTCTTCCTCGACTTCGAGGCCTTCCTCCTCAGCACCATGAAAGAGCGGTCCACCCTGTGGATACACTCCCAGATCAAGGCCTGCATGGACATAATCGACTGTCAGCCGGACTTCTGCCTGGATCTTTTCGAACCCTCTGGACACGGCAGAAGGAAGCGTGACGCTGAAGTTATAGAAATTGTCGAAGCGTCGGATATAGATTCTTTGCACCATTACAACAGTTCAACCCAGTTTACTAGGATTAAAGGCAACTTGGAGTATACAGTCCTGATGCCGGGAGAGTTCTATCACAGGACCGCCACAATGGAGAATAGCTGCAGTACATTTTTGGTCATAGCCGCCATTTTGGGCTGTTTGCTGTTCTTGTCTGCTTTCATTATGTGTTGGCTGGCAACGAGGCTGCACACCGCTTTGTTGGGAGCAGCTAGTAATAACAAAAATATCGATGAGTTGGTTAGGGAAAGTAGTAGATATTCTGAATCTGGATATACTGGAAGAGCAACAACGCAGTAATTGAAATTGCAATTATGGCCAAAGCGTGATTATAGTTCAAAAATTTATTGCAACATCTGTAAATATTTTCCTGCTCGCAGATTTAATACCAAACGAAATTAAGGAAATGACACATAGCAATGACTTAAGTCAGTTTATTCCATCATCATATCTTCAAATTATGTGAAGATATTTTTAATCCACCAAAAGCGAGAGGAAATTTTGAATGACTTAGAATTTTACATAATTTTAAGGAAAAACGGTGAATGGTGCAAAAACATATCGAAATTCTCAAATTTCTTCAATTCACTTACTAGAAAAAAATATAAGTTCATAATTTTTATTAACTATCTGTAAATACGTTAATTGCATTATCCATATTTAAAATGGAATACTTTTATAATTTATAACTGATTTCATATACCTATTAGTATTATAAGTAGTTTTGTAGTTAATTCTATTTAATTGGTTGTTAAGTTTAAAAATAATATTTATTTATTTATTTATTTATTTATGTATTCCTATTTATTAAGTATTTTTTAAATTAGTGTTAAGGATTTGTACATAATTTTACATTTTGTAAGCTTATTGGGAATATTTTTAAAAAGAAATTTCATAAATGCTACCCCGCATTTATTAAATGTCTTTCGAATAAAAATAATGTATTTCCAATTTTGGGATGGTGACAAAGCTAATTTACACTTTGGGAAGATTTATATTGCATTTTGCTTAGTAATTTATGTTTATTTATTGTGCATTGTACAAATTTACAATAAAATTTAAGAATAGTATAGTTGTTTTGTTATAACTCCTCATCTTATTTTTATGCAGTTTTCCAAGAAGAGATAACATTTCAGAAAAAATTACAACTATCATCTCTGCAGAACCACTGAAAATGTTGTAGGTGTTATTTCTGTTCATTCAAATTTGGCGCCATTTAGTGTTTATATGTTTCAGGGGTTGGTAGTAGTTAGTACGAGATGTAATGTAATGGCAGATCCAGATATTAACCATTTTCTTTTGATCTCAGCTTTGAATCATGACCATTGAATCAGGATCAGACAAACACGAACTAGATCCATGAATCCAATGGTAATTATTTACTATAGTGGCACCCTCTCCAATTTTCACAAAATTCTATCTACCCACCTATTTTCGATGGTGCTGAACACGAATCTGAGGGTTTTTTTGTGCGCTCGAACCCAGTGTTTGAGAAAAAATTTTTACAAAATTCTATCCTGAATATTTCAGATAACACTACGTAGAACTCTATATATTTTATGTAGCTTTCAGAACATCTGTAATGAACAATCAACATTGTTTAAGAAACACATTTTCCCAAATTTGAACTAAAAAAAATATGTATTTAATAAATAAAATAATAGTAACTTTATGTGGAATGAACAGAGATGAATGAGAGTGGAGGAACTCAATGTTGTCATCACGAATTACAAATGGCGGATTCAAACTACAAAATTTTTATTTATTAAATACATATTTTTTTACTTGAAATTTACGAAAATGTGTTTCGTGAACAGTGTTAATTGTTCATAACAGATGTTCTGAAAGCTACATAAAATATACAGAGTTCTACGTAGTGTTATCTGAAATATCCAGACCCGTTTCGGGTTAGAAGTGGGAGTGACTATTCAGATTATGAAACGTCTTCAATGTAACCATCCTTGTCTATCGCACGGATTTCTATGACTTGCTTTATCGCTCTCACGTAACGGCCGATGAACCATGGGGACTTTCCGAACCTGTATATATAGTACGTCCGTGAATTGAGTTTACAAGAGGACAAATGGACCGAAAGGTGAAAGATACGAAAAAAAGTCATTCTTGATAAAAGTTTTTGCTTGTTTAAAAAATACGAATCACCACGATGATTTTCAATTTTGTTGTACAGGGTGGGTCAAAAACACAAAAATATTATTTTGCGTAAGAGTAAACATAAGTACCTTATTTTGTAAAGTACGAAAAAAAGGCATTCTTGATCAAAGTTTTTGCTTGAAGAGTGCATAAGAGTCACGTTATCAAAAATTTAATTAAGTATTCTCTAGCACACCTCTAATCAGGGTACCTACTAATTCCTAAACTAATGACACTTAAGGACACTAGTCCCCAGAAAACCCTGAATTTAGAATAATGACATAAAGACTATATTCCTGTTGGCTATTTCATTTTTGTTACTTAAACTGTCAGCAACATAACTTTCTGCAATTGTGGCTGATTTCCACCCACCATGTCTCTTGATTACTAATACATCAACTCCTGTATTAGCCTGTAACGTTGCCAATGTTCTTCGGCCTGTATATGTTTCAGGATGTTCTAGTTTCAAAAACTCTGTCTCGGACTCTATTGCCAGCCCTAGCTCCGCTCGGGCGCAAAATCGTCCTCAACTGGTAAATAATACTTACCTCCTTTATGGTGTAAGTAACTACTGAAAAACTAATGACAACTGTAAATAAGAACAATTTTTCAAAATAGTAATTTTTTCATAAAATTAAATGTGTTGTCTCACAAGTTTCAGTTTATCCTTTTCCATATCTTCTTTCTATCAAATATTTATGACACTTCCCAGTTTTTTTTTAATTTAAATTTTCATTAATTTTCTACCATCAGTTCTACTGCCCATATGGGAGTTAAAGAAAAAAACACTTAAAACCGCATTATTTTGAGAGCAGCAGTTCGGAATTCATCAATTTTTTAAACATTAAAAAAATAAAAAGAAAAACAAATAAAAGGAAATAACAATATAATTCTCATTATCTAAAATTTACATTGGAATAAATATACATATACATAAAGAATATACAAATAAAATGACTGTATAAAAATAAAATTGTACATTTACATTAAAAAAAATAATAATCCTATAACCTCGATCAAGGCTGTAGGTCATAAAACATTTGTAAAAACAAAAACTTTATAAAACTCTTCATACAACAATAAATACAGCAGTACATTTCTAAAAAAAAAGAAATAAACTTAAACAGGCATAATTTCCCTACGGTACAAACATTTTAATTATTTTCTCTCACAATATACAGGTTGTTAGAAGTTTGTCTGCCTTAATTTTAACAGACGATAAAATACATTAAAATAAACAAAAAAACCTTACATGACATGGGTCCTAAATTCAACCATTTTAGAGAAAAAAATTATCAAAATCTCCAACTTGATGTACAAAAGTTCGATTAATTAGGGAATATTGACATAACTGCGTGCATAGAATACCATAAAATACAATGTTTATCACTTTTTTGAAATTATTTATGCTTAGTTCCAAAAAATAATTAGCGTAAAAAATTTAAAATTCGATAAAACAGCGCGGCGGATAACACGAGGTACTAAGCTGTCCAGCAATACGCAATTGAGTTGGTATCTGGAATTGGACCGTGTCGGAGTGTTTTTTGCGTGAATTTTTGAATACTTTAATTACATATTTTTCAAATTCATAATTTGATTAAAAATTGAGTTCCTGTTTTAAAAGACTCATAATTACTCAAATTCGAACTAAAATATAACTAACACTATCTTCGTACTACAAAATTGATACAATTCATTTTATTTATTTAAAAACTGGAAAACAATTATCTTGAAATTTACTAAATGTTCCACAATAATAGTTGTTTACATTTTTTCCATAGGACAAGTCTGCCGCGTGCACACGTGGTATGCACCAGCTGTGTAGCGTTAGGTTAAGCGCTGATGTCACATTGTGATGAAACACCCAATATAATACTCACTGTATTTTGAAAACTGTTAATCTTACCCCCCCCCCCCTGTATATACAATTTTTTTGTTCATTTATGATTACTCTATCTCATGCTTAAGTAATGACAGTCAAACTTCTTACACCCTGTATATTACTGGTTTACACTCTTACTTTCTACTAGACATTATGATTATCACAATACCAATTAATGCATTCTTCTTAAATGTATTATTAAATAAATACAGACGAGTTTATGACGAATCCAAACATTTTTTTAATATCACGATACTGCTGCCGAGTGCAACAAAAAGAATACGTATATTAACCAAAAAATAAATAAAATTAATGCTGCATCTTCCATTGCAAAGCAGTATTCAAAAAATTGTAAAAAATTTTAAAGGAATAAACGTACAGAGCCCTCAAATGATTACGAGCCATGTGAGCAACCAACATTGCACGACTGAAAATGTCAACTAAAAATCCCTAAATCTTAACATCACCAATATTAATGATACGTTCGCAATGATTAATGACAAACTGTTGCGTCGCTCTCATGAAATCTCGTGAAAAATTACACCATTCACCAGCGAGTGAAACAGACTGTTGTGTTTGAATATAATTTTGATTTTACTGTTTTAATTATTTTCAATTTTACCGAAATTTAATTACCAACATGAAGAAAATAAAATAACTGGTCACGTGGCTTGCAATCATTTACGAAAGTTCTGTACAATCGGTAGTTCTCAAACTTTTTTGTTAAGGACACCCTAAAATTAGAATCCGAATCTCACGATTCACTTTTAAAAGATTTTTACATTCAACTCCATCAACTTCAACATTAGTTTCTGGTACATATAAATTGAGAACCACTGCTTCAGACATTAAATAATTGTTTAGATATTTGTTTCAAGTATTCTTCCTTGTTGCGTATCCCAGCATTACCATTATTAATAAATAGAAAACATAACATTTCCTTACAACATGGAACGAAACATTAAATGTAATACACTTCGCATCAAAGCAGGGTGCAAGAGAAAATCGGTACTTCCCTAACTCAAGGGGGGGAAACCACATTAGGAGGTTCGAAAAATCGGATTTTTTTTTTCTACTACTATTCAAGAATACAATGCAGAAATTTCAAAAACGAAATTCCCATTCGTTCTGATTCTTATTCATACTCTTTGAAAACATGTTAGTAACGACCTCCACATTTCTCATGAACAATTCGAACGATGACCTTCATTGGAGAACATGCCCATGACATCGGCATTTTCAACACAAACGATTTGAATAAAATTTGTAAGTGTAGTTCGAAATATTACTAAAATAATGGCAAAATTTGATCAAATTCTAATCGATTCATCCCACTCAAAAAAATTCATGAAAAACGCTTGAAAATCAGTCTCTTAAAGTTGTTTCTCCCCTTAAGACACAACAGTAATAACAATTATTAGGAATTACTAACTAAAAGTAGGACGGATTAGTGAAAACATTTTAGAATGATGTTCTGGTGGCTTTGGCAGATTAAAGCCAAAAAAAAAGGTCTGGTGGTGAACCAAGAAAAAGTAAGTATATGCACGTTACTAAAAATGCAGACCTAATCATTCAACAGAACATTACTTAAGGAAACGGCATCTTGGTTGACATACTTTGGCTGTTCGGTAAGCACAATGAATACTTATGAAATCAAACTGACTCCAATTAAACAATACATATTCTCCAGAAACATATCAGAAATAAAACAGTTGTGAGTCTCGAACAACCAAAATCCCAGAGATTCGGCGTCTATAATTATATTTTTAGAATAAACTGGTGTGCTTTTAATTATGCATCCCACTTGAGAGGGCTCTATAGCAAATAGCCTACCAGTAACATATTTTTATAGATTTTATTACACAGTTTGTCTAAATATGAATTCATGCACAAATAACAGACTTTCCTCCATTCTAATAATTCTATAAAATGGACTGAGTTTGAAACTCAAATTAGTTTTTGTTATTAAGAAATTTGTAATTTACTTGTTTAAATGTGGTAAATTACAAATTTCTTTACAACAAAAAGTATTTGAGTTTCAAACCAACTCCAACAAAATCTATAAAAATGTATTGCTGGTTGCTTATTTGCTATAGAGCCCTCTTAATAACAGAGACACCGAGGTGAATCAAAAAACAAAAGACGATCCTCAAATTTCGGAGAGAATATTTTCTCTCCCACCCTGTACACGCTGGAAACCGAAATTTGAATAAAAATTTCTATCTCAGCTCGTTGCTGAGGCATTAATCTATAATTCAAAATAAAAGATCATCAAATTAAATTACCTGCATCGAGAGGAATCAATTTTGAAATTTTTATCCAGTTTTTAGTGGTGCAAAGTGTATTTAAAATTTGTCTCTGTAAAGCGAACTAACAAAATTTTATACGGCATAGAACCGATATTTTTGTACTATACAAAAAAAAAGACGAAAAAGACTTTTATCCGTATTACACAAGTTAAAAAATTTTGTACCTGTCACAGTGATTGCTTCGACCAGCGCATCAAAATAATTATACGCTGATCTGGTGCTCCTCCAACGCCTTTATCAGCTCGATCTCCTTCTGCTCCTTCGTCGTATTCCTCATTTCGAACTCGAGCCTGTTCCTTATTATCCTTTCGACTATCTTTTCGGTGGTCATGTCGTTACCCGAATCGACGGTAATAAATCTACCGATCTCCTTGGGGTACTTGAAAGGATCCTCCCCGTTCTCGTCCTCCATTATAGGAGTCTTCCCGTGGACCACTATGTCCACCTTGAAATGGTCCATCAGGTCTTTGGTAACGGTATAGGGGGCCCCTATGACCACCTCGGAAACGTACTTGCACGCGAGGACGCTTAGCACTCTCTCGTGTAAGTTCATGATGGGGAAGTTCGAGCGTTTGTACCTATTCACCACGGGATCCGTGTGCAGGCCCACGATGAGATAGTTACCCTGTAAATAAGGGACGGTGTTAATATACGGCGTCGAACGTACCGCGAAATGTAAATTCAATTTAACGACACAGTAAAAAATTCTTTGTTAATTACAAGTTCAGTGAAGTGTGAATGGAATTTGTAGCGGCAAAAAATAATAATGAACAATATAGCTCACTTGTTCTAGTCTTTACTTTCATTTGATTTGGAGGAAAGTTTCCCTTCCTACTTTCTATCTGGAATTGCTGTAAAAAATGTTAAGTTTTATTAATCATACTTTAATACAATTGTTATTCCCAGGAAGCAAAGCACATACCGTTATGAAATTCTCTCAATATAAAATCCGTTTTGAACTGAGAGTAAATAATTATATCAGTGTTCTATATCTATAGAAACAGTGAAACAGACTAAACGTTTGATTCTATAACAAAGTAGTATCAATTTATTCTTAGTTGCGTGAAATAATGGCTAATAACGATTATATCAAATACACAGTTTGTTACGAAAAAGTAAATCAAGCTTGGTAGCTTGATTAATAGGCTATTGATTATATCCAAAAAAAGCAGTGTTAAAAGGAACTATGACGTTCAAGCAATTTTATTGCATGAATCGTTCAGAGGGTCATTTTAGATGAAAAAACCGCGGAGTGCTATTAAATTAGAGAGTGGAAATTGGAGATAGGGGTGAAAATGCACCCCTTTCGGTTTTTTAATAGTAGCTCGAAAACTAAGCAAAATTTCACTATCGTGAATAATAATGCATAAATTTTTCCTTTTAAATTTTTTAAATAAGCTATTTCGATGGAAAATTCAATTCTCTAAATAATTTTTCCCATGAACTATAGCAAAATTTTGCTTTGTTTTCGAGCTACAATTAAAAAACTGAACGGGGTGCATTTTCACCCCTATCTCCAATATTCACCCTTTAGTTTAATAGCACTCCGCAGTTTTTTCATCTAAATTGACCATTTGAACAATTCGTGTAATAAAATATCTTGCACGTCATAGTTCCTTTTAAAATCCAATATTCAATAATATCGCAGATTCTTTGGGAGAAAATAATAGGTGTTAAAGTTAGAATTAAAAAAAATAGTTATAATTTTGTCAGTTTTTAAGATATTCCATTGAAATTTTACATATACTTTTATCTCAAGTCAGTACACCTTATCTAAAAAAATTTATTTAAACGAGTTGAAGCCCAAACGGAAGAAAGGGGTTGTTAATTATTGTTAAAAAATATTTATGTGATTTACATCATTATGTGAATTTCAAAAACTTCAAACGTTGAATGAAGTCTATAAGCAAAAACCCAAAATAATAAGCAAAAAAGCACAGAGCATAAGTGAAATATTTGAAGCAGATATTAATGTTTACAAACATACCCCCTGTGTTTGAGGAACAGATAAAATGACAAAAATTTTTCGAAATTCTTTGACAAATTTTGATTTAATAAGCCAAAAAAACACTTCCCAAGTTCAATACAATACAAATAAATTAATTAAAAAAAACAAAAAAAAAATGTGTGAAAATGTGAGATTAGCGAAATATACAGGGTGGTCTAAAATTGTTTCCAGAGCAAATTAGAAATAAAAACAACTTTTTGTATAAGCAATTTTCTGAAAATATAATATGGAAAATTTTATACCTAGACTTAGACATCTTGAAGCTAATTTATGCAGTGTTGTTCAAATTTCCCATCCTGCATAGGGGTAGTTTAACAAAGCGACTAACACTATTTCATCGCCAACTTTTCATTCTAACCCCTTTTTTCGATCTCCAAATTATTCGAAAAGAAAAAGGTTTCGCTGTGTAGTTAAAATAAATCAACCGTTATCGACCGTAGGGGTCAGTTTTTTAGGGGAAATAGTATTACAAATACATGAATTGTAGGCAACCTATAGTGCATGTGAAGGGAGACAGTGCGGGTCGACAGTGACGAAGCGAAGGATGTCAGTTGTGCCACATGTTTATCGCTGGAAGCCATCAACAGACTATTTATTTTTGTCTATTTCATTTATAATTATTGATTACAGCTCGAGTTTTTTGCTAGGTTACTTGTTAAGTGCTGTTTGTGTGGCAAAATTCTGCAAAAAAATATTTTTTCCATAAAATATTTAACAAATATCAAGTTGTAATATATTGTTGACTGCAGAAAAAAATACTCGATTGAACAGGTCAAGAAAAATAACTTGACATTTAAGAAAAAAACAATTGAAAATCGCCTAACGTTCTGATGATGGCAAAAAAAATTAAAATCAGTGCTCGATTGTAGTATTTGTCAAGCCATTAACAACAGTCTTTTGTTTTTTTAAATAGAACAATTATTAACAGAGTTACAGCTTGGGACATTTTTTATGACAGCCTGTATGTGTGTAGCTTATCTACAAACTAAAAATAGTCGGTTTTCAGTAAAGAAAATGAACATTCAAAAGTATTTGAAAACAGAAACAGATTGTCTTATGCAAATTTTAAATTCTTTTATGCGATAACACAACTACCCCATACTGATATCATTTAAAATGTCCGACATTTCAAAAAGTATGCAATCAATGTTATGAAATTTATTATTCTATTTATTTTCAGAAATAAGTCCATATAAGAAGATATCCACTCCGATTTTTTTTAGGTATCACATATTGACCCTGAAAATATCGACAGAGAATTTAAGACCACCCTGTACATGAACCAAGAAATGCAGTCACAAAAATCATCACAAAAAATCACCTCAACCCAAAAAAACTTAAAAAAAAAGTGAACTTACTCTTACCTGCTCTCTAGCCTTCTGCAGAAACTCCAAGTGGCCCACGTGGAATAGATCAAAAGCGCCCGCCACGTAAATGATCCTGTCTCCGGGCTTGGGAGATTTACCGTCCGAAAACTGAATGATCTTCTGCGTGGTAGGAAGAAACTGCGAACAACCCGTATACGGGGACCTAGCAGAGGAATCTTGACCCATCGTTGATGAGTGCTCCTTGGCTACATGATACTCATACTGACCTTGTTTGAAATGGTTCCGCGTCAATAGTAGCATGCGGCCAACTAGGTCTGTCGTGGAAACACCCGCCGTCCGCTGCACCTCTCTGAAACGAACAGATTATTTGCTTGTTACAAAACCACTAGCTTTAATAAGAAGCCGTATATAAATACATAAATAACTTTGAATGCACACATAATAACAAATAAGAACTTAAATGTACGTGATTCTTCCAAAAACAATTGTTCGGATATGTCAGTGCATTGTTTTAAGTTTAGTTCTGAAAATGAAACAAAAAAAAACAAAAAAAATAAAAACAAAAAAACAAAAAAATAAACAAAAACAAAAATGAAAAAAACTGATAAACTATGTAAAAGTAAAGAAAAAAATTCAGATTAAAATGAGTTCAATAAAAAAAAATATTGTACTAGGAGCGCTGAAACTTTGATAGAAACTCGATACAAAACATTCTACATTATATAGTTTTGTCATAGTAACCGAAGTAATTACATTTACAGAATTTTTACCGTACAAGTTCAGTTATTATTTTATCGTAAAGATAGAGACATTGAGGTTTTCCCTCGAATATTTTTTGTATCTGTAATAGTTTTTGCGTAATTAATTACTTTATTACTCGTCACCAATGCTGTTTTGACACAAATACGATTTTATGGGCAACAATAAATGAGATTTATTTGATAATAAGAAAGAAATAAAATGCTTTGTGGAGTTCAGAATCTTGTAAAATTATTAGAAATGATTGCAATTCTCAGTAACGCAAAAAAAACGATAATTTAGCACATTTGAAATTTTCTTCGTTCTGCCAACATACTAAAAAGTGATAATGATTTCCAATAATTTTCCTGAAAGAACATTGGATTACAAATTTTGTACCTCCATAAAGGATTATTTTGTTCCTATTATAAAAAAAAATTGCATAATAATACATTGCTGAAAATTAATAAAACCATTCTTTAAATGAAAACAGCAAAATTTTCAAAAGAGAACAATTTCACCTTCGAGAAAAAATAAAAATCAGAAAATTATTATTCGGAAAAAACTAAAAGGAGGGCCCCTATGGACGGTTTTTGCCCTAATTTATTTCTGGCTGAAAAAGTCTGATTTTTTTTTTTTTAATACCCACTAGCAATACTGAATCGTTTCCACCCTAAACGGACCAACCCCCTCACCCTCCTTTCCCCCTCCACCCCCTTAAATGCTGGGGAAACCTTTGCTTATTAGAGAAATCTTTAAAGAGCTTAGAGACGCGAATATGAATCTTACATATGAAGAGTTTTTTGGGTCGCTGATCACGAATCTTATCTCAGAATCACGAAATTCAAAAAGGCGGATCCAATATGGCGGACAAGAAAATTGAAATGTCTTCAAAATGTATGAATTTTTTTGTAATGGGGTCTTTTGGGTCTATGATTATGAATCTGGACTCTAAATCACGAAATTCAAAATGGCGGATTCAATATGGCGGACAAAAAAATTAAAATGTCTAAAATGCATGAATTTTTGTGTAGTGGGGTTTTTTGGGTGTCTGATTATGAATCTGAAGGCGGAATTACAAAATTCAAAATGACCTATTCCATATGGCGGACAAAAAAATTAAAAAGATCTTCATAATTCTCAAATATTTGTTTATAGACACTTTCTTGGATCACTGATTACAATAATTATGAATTCAGAATCACAAAACTCAAAGTGGCTAATCAAATATGCACAAACATGTATAATTATTTTTTTCTTTTTCGTTTTATTCAATGTAAATGTGGGTCATCTCATTTAACGGGCTGGAGGGGGAAAGGAAGGTGAGGGGGTTGGTCCGTTTAGGGCGGAAACAATTCAATATTGCTAGTAGGTACTAAAAAAAAATTTTTTCAGATTTTTTCAGCCAAAAATAAATTAGGCCAAAAATTGAATAATAAATCGACTCCAAAAATCTGTGGTAGTTTCTTGTCGATGGAATATTAGGACATCCGTATAGCTTTACCAAACATCTACGAGCAAACTCCAGATTTAGGCGAAGATTTCCAAACTAATATTATTTTTTTACAATTTGTTGGAGAAAAACAAAGAACACATTGGAAGTATAAAAAATGTACCTACTCGTATAATAAAAATTCCAATCAAACACACAAATAAAATTTGTATAATAAAACAATAACTCATAACGTGAATTAGTCATTGGTAATAGTGCTAAAGGTAATACTGCTAAACAGTTATAGTACTTGGGAGCTAAATTTCATAAAACGCTAATTCTTACGAATTGTTTATTTAGTAATTAAAATACGACGTATCAGTGAAGATTATGAAACTGACAATTAAATTTTACAGATCATTATCTCTCAATTTTTCCCTAAAAACAAAATCTAAAATATTTCTATAGACTTTTTCTTGGTATCCTCAATCTAAAATAAAGATTGTCTTAAAAATTAGAAAAAAGATTATTACAAATTATTACAAATAGGAAATTTCACTTCCAATTTTAAAAATCAGTGAGTATAAATTACTCTAAAGAATTTATAGAGATAGCAAGTAGCGTATTTAAAAAAGTATGTGAGGATATACGATTAAGTTAAATAGTTAAAATAATATGTGATAAGGTCCGCCTACGATATTCTTCAGTCCTTGATAAAATTCATTTAATATTTCAGCATTTGTTGCAAGCGTATGTTAAGTTGTACAACATATAAATTATTCTAAATAAGTATGGTGTTATTTTTAGTATAGTAGTTATTTTAAATATATTATTAGTTTTTATTATTATTTTTTTAACCTTTCAATAATGTCAACAAATAATTTGATGAGTTCAAACTGACAAACGGCCCTTAAATTAATGATAAACTGCCTTCACCTGTATCTGTCCGCACTTTTGACCAAGTGGTAAGTATCCACACCATCCGCGGTCATGGTGATATCGTCACCATGCACACAAAAATCACAGTCATATTTATCTAAGGTATCTAGTGTGGTCACGTAAGGTGCCCCCTCCACCACCTCATCTACCCATTTTATACCTCGAACCATCTTGTAGCGCTCTTCTTCAGTAAACACGGGGGGTCCCTTGTGCTTTGTTATTTCCTCGTCGGTATGTACACCCACTATTAGGTAGTCGCCCAACGCTTTCGCTTGCCGAAGGAAGTTCGCATGTCCAAAGTGTACCATGTCGTAACTGAAACAAAAAATGCTGGAATAAATAAACAATAGAGAAAATAATTACTAAATTATCGCAACATCATAATTGTTCAACGATTACTTATTCTTATTAGTGAAGAAATTTTGATAACAATGTCAAGTATCTTATCTATTATTTTATGTAACTTTTAAAGTCTTTCCTATAATTTAAACACAACAACTATGTAAAATAATTAATAACAATATGTGATGCTCCCAATTAGCCAAATGTAACAAAATATGTTTTTTACTTAATCCAGTAAAGTATAAATTTCTATAAAAATTTGACAAATAGGTCCAGCTTAATTTTTCAACACTTTAACAATAACAATTGTTCAGAATTTATTTTAATTGCCATTTTTAAATAACTATTAATTAAATTTATTTTATGAACAATTTTTATGGTGGCATTTCCTAACAATACCTACACTACAAATGTGTTTCCTGCTATGTGTTATTGTATTTATACTGTTTAGTAATATTGTTGTTAGGTATTATGACTTTACTTTCAATTTTTTGCCCACGAAGTAAAAAATTTCTTTCCAAATTAAAAACGAAAATATTACATTTTTATCAAATATGTTTCATATTAACTCGGAACTTTACTATTTTTTTTTTTGCTTAAAATAACATTTCCTACCTTCTGCGCCATATTTTACAAACATCCTGTACATTAATTGATAGAGTTTAGTTTTTTATTGAGGCATATAATAGGTACAGCGGCGTTCAATTCCAATAATCTTTGGAAGTCCTATTTTTCCACTTAGATATTATATGGCAATTGCAACTTAAAAACAAAATTATACCTACACGTTTCCATGAGTAATAATCTTTGCATAAAAAATTCACTTATCAGGATTAAGAAATTTAAGTTTAAAAATTATATATTACAGGCTCATTTCTATCAAGGTTAAATTAACTTCAGTTATGGTTATAATCTTACTCACATTACAAAATATTTTTATTTAATTACCTACGTGGATGCAGAGGCGTATTCGAGAAAAAGTTAGAGAAGCCAAATTTAAATAAGAGTGATGTACCTAGGTAAATATTTTATGAGTATATAACAAAACGATTTATCCAACATGAAAAAATATTGTTACATAAATAAAATAATACCCTACCTATATTATATAAATAAAAATTGAGTAAATCTCTAATAAATTATTAGATTATAAAATTATTCTTCATACAACAGAATACTAATTTTACCTGCTTTTTGAATAATAGGTACCAGACTAGTAAATGAACCAACTTCTAGACTTCTACTTTCGAAAATTTGCAATTAAATATAAAAATTTGAATTGTAGGTTATGTTTAATTTAAACAAGTGGGTTTAAATTTAAAAATACACTTTTGCATTGCAAAATAAAATAAACCGTCTTATTTTCAAATGCATAAACATTTTACTCGTCACAAGAAGCCAAACCCAAGCAAAAATTGTAAAAATATACGCAGATTTGGTTTGATGCGGTTTTTATTGATCTTAAGCTATTCGTAATATAAGTACGGTATATTGGAACTTACCATCCATCGCACCACACTCTAATTTGCGATTTATGACCGTTCTGCAATTTATTTTCTGGCATTTTGGAGCTGTTGACAATTAGACAGATCTGTATAAATTATATCGTCAATCACAGCACTCTTCACTATACGAAATTCTACACACAGAGAACCAACCCACTGATTCAATTCAAACTGAACGTAAACGTAAACGTAAAGTCAACTCGGAAGTTTTCCATACAATATATATTCTTGCGGCGTTGCCGGTTGTCAAAGAAGTCTATGAGTTCGGGAAGAATTGAACAGAGCAGATTACACTGCGGCAAAAAGCAAATAAAAACATGGGTAACATATTTAAACAGTTATTTGACATCTAAGTGTTTTTTATATTTTTATTACAAATTTGTGAGGGAAATGCCTTACATTAAATACCTACAAAATATACTAGTGAATGGCTTCTATTAAGTTTTTTTATTTCCTTGTACATTACTTATTTATATAACTCCAAAAACTGTTACTTATTACTTTTACTGTTACTTATTTTCTTTTTGCAATATAATATTATTACTGCATGTAGATCCAACTTTTTTTGATAACAGGAATAGATTATTATTTCTAATATTATTTTTTATTTCAAATTGAAAATTATTCAGTTTTTCAAAGTAATTATCAATATGTAAAATTATTAACCACGTATTTGTGTATTCATAAATCCCGTAAAAGATAGATATTTGGCAACATCGGACCTCTCAATTTATAGGACGCCCCTTTGATACCATCACACCACGTTTTCCCCCACCATATTCCAGTATTCACCAACACAAGTTATCGACCCATATGATGTGTATTACTATTACAAGCGTTGAGTAAAAAATCGCAACATAAGAGTCAAAACGACGCCGACGTTGTCTAGGAAAATGAGATGACTGGACTAATTACGTAGGAGGTTTAAAACTGATATGCGATAGTACGATCATTCGATCCTTGGTTATATAAGCTTTGCGTAGTAAACTCAAGGGTATGATCAAGAAATCGAAGGCCATACTTAAAAACAGTGATTTTACAGAGTGTTTTCTATTCTTATTGAACATATGAGTATACAGGGCGTAAAAGAAACATTGTAACAATCCTCGAGGTACTCGTCAATTTAAAAGAAAAAGTTACTATGATCACACCGCAGTTAATAAAATGCAGTAATTAAATTTTTCAAAAATTTGATGATAATTAGTTTTGATACAATGAAATGAAATGAAATAAAATAAATACGAAAAGTTTGGATCTTCTTTCTCATAGAAATTTTTAGAGGTATGTATTAACACAAAAATATACTGTCTTTCAATGTTCTGGTGCGGTCCTATATGTGTGGTGTTTCGTTGTGACCATACAAATTTAATTCAATGGTTACATTTACTTGGCACCACAAAATATATAATAGACCTGGCACGTAGTGCGACGGTACGATGTTATGTGGTTCGTTATAATCGTTATGGCCACATACTTAGATCCATATGAGTAACTAAATAAGTGGGTTATTCTGTGTCTTCTGTCGACAGCAGCTGCAGAGTATGCCATCTGTAGCTGGTGCAACAAACGACACACTCGGAAACCACAGACCATGAAATAATTAAGGAAACTGCATGAGAAAACACAATTAGAGTAACCTCTTATTCTAGTATCTAACAGATGTCGCTGCACCATAATGGCGGTAAATTTAAATGTAACAAAATACACTAAGAATAAAAAGTATTTCATAATAGATCATAAAACAGCTACTAATAGTTTAAGTTAATAATTGAAATTAACGTGAACTATTAACAGCTGTTCCATGACCCATTACTTATGAAACACTTTAATTATCACTTGGTTAAATGAAAAAGTTAAAGCAGTGATATAATTATTATTTCTTTAAAGAAACCATTAAAAACTGCAAATTTTAAAGAAATTGAAAGGATTGTTTATCAGTATTTAGGAGGTGAAAAATCATCCTAAATTGAAGTTTGGCCGCTGAAATTTCTGTAATGTTACGTTAACAAATTGTTTTTCTGAATGTTGGATACTATCCGAGGATTCCGAGGTGATATTGTTATAGTTGATAAGTGAACTTGTAGTTGATCCTAAAAATAATGTGGGCACAGCACTCCCTATTACTGTTTTTTAAACATTTTAACTCAAAATGGTCTTTAAAAAAATAATGATCTGTGTTTGTCGGAGCAAAGTCTGATTTACATAATTTTCGAACTGATTCTATCCACAGTAATTGTCTGCAAACAAAACAAATTTATTAATGCACAAAACGCGACAACCTACCTAAACATAAACTATAACCTCAAACATTATATTTCTGTATTTTCTGTTGATTGAAAGCGTATATATACTAGATAGTAAGTATATGATTGAAAGACTGGAAATGGAAATACAAACAAGGCTTTTTTTCGCGAGTGTAGTGGTATGTTGTAGTATGTATTGTTTGAGTGAATGAAGAGATTTAAACTAACATATATGACAACTCTAAGAGCAAAAGAGATAGAAATAGTAACTACAAGTCAGATATTAACCAATCAGTCGCAAAAAAAGCTAGAGATTCGATCTGTGATCGCAGATTTCTGTTTTAACGATTTGTATAAAGGACAACGTTTTGCTGCACCAACGCGAGATGGCCTTAGTGAATGCTTGCTCCGTCCGGCCTATCCAAAAAATCCTCTTATTTATTTACTCATATGCTTAGATCTAACGACATTGATCGTGCTGCCCCCTGACTATATATGTTGCCACCACAAATAGACAAATATTTAAAATCGCTACATTTGGCACTTAATTTAAAATTTTGACATATCTTATTTTTTTAGAACTTAAATAAGGTCAAAATGAAAAAAAATACGGGCGTTTTATTTTTCTGGTACATTTATTATGAATAAAAATGCAACCTATATTAATTACAACATTGTATGTAATTGTATTAACCTTTACACTTATTAAAAGTTACTATCGATTCTTAATCACGAACGCAAAAAAAAAACAAATTAAAATCAATGGAAACATTTGACGAAGCGATATGCGCATTTGGAAAACCGGAACTCTATTCCAACATGACGCGATAAAATTGAACACAGAACCTCCTAATCTTTGGGGTCGTCTATTCCACCATTGGTGATAACATAAGTGACCTCGCTCTCCTCCAGGTCCGGGCTGTCGTAGATTTTGGCTATTCTCTTGTTGCCCTTGGCCTTCTTCAGGGCTATCCTAGTGGTGGAAGCGTGGGCCAGAATGTTACCCCCAACTGGTTTCGGTAGATTCTCCGATTCCGAAGGAAATAAGTTGAAGTCGGACGTGATCTGATTGGTCAAGAAAACGGCCACGTTGTATTCTTCGCTTATTTTCTGCAGGCGGGACATCATCTGCCCTAGCTTCTGCTGACGGTCCGCTATTTCCCCGCGACCGTTGAAGTCAACCCGGAATAAGGCCATGATGGAGTCGACGATGAGGAGTTTGAAGATGCCGGCTTCCTCGTGGAATTTCGCTGCCACGCTAAGATGGTTGATTAAATGAATAAAAAAATTATTATTTGTTCCTATATGACTGTAACATATTTGGATCCAGCCCTGTATTAATTGATGCAAATAAACCTTGCCGACATTTATTAATACTGAAACCAGAAATATCTGGATAAAAATAAAATATGTTTTAAAATAATAAATTCCTGACCTTATTATGACATTTAAAAAAATTGCTTCCTTTAAAAATTCCTTATAGAAGTATTCATCAAATTAAATAATGCGCTAATAAAACTAATTTCATGTCAAAATATATTCCATTAAAAATGGAATAAATATATTAATCGAGCGTTTACCTGTTAAGCAATTCGTATTGATGTTCAGAGTTGTAGGCCCTAGCATACAAAATGTTTTCCAGAACAGTAGTTTGGTCCAAGTTAAATCTTTCAGCTATAGTTCGAAGTCGTTCTGGTCGACTATATCAATTAATTGTTAAGAAAATCATATTTCAATAAATTGATTTCGGTTTACTGCAATATAAAATGTAAACACAACAACCTTAGATTTATTATTGCTGCGCAGATATTTTTGCAATATGTATAATTATTGCAAATGGAAACAAAATCAATTTTTGACATAGCTAAATTTTACTCGTGTGTGCTTTTATTTCACCTTGCAGTGATGCAGTGTTTCAATAGTTGAGGCGAAGAATCGATCCGGTTCAAAAACAAATATGTTCACGTTCTAATGCGGATGATTCTACGTTAATCTGTAACGAAACGATAATCTAAAGTCTAAAGGAAAGGATACAACGTGTGTTCTGTGTCGATAAACATAACTTTTCCTCCTAAGTAACCGTTGGGACCGGGCATTTGAGCTGTCACACACAAAGTGTGCGACAACTGAGTTTTTCCTGTACGAAATTCTCCAAACACTTCTGTAATCGCCATGGATTCTATACCACCTCCTAACAGTTTGCTAATTAAAAAAAATACATAAATTGTATATAAATTGCATTGTTTACTAGATCAACCAGAAGTTTTCTCGAAATAAAGTCGCGTCGCGTGCTATTCTTTCAAAAATTATAAACGTTCTCTGAAATTATGTTAATAATGCGACGTCTTCAATTTTATCGTGGCTCCTACACCTGTTACGTGAATTGATTTACGGACGTGTGTATAATAAACAAATCAAATAATAAATATACTCACTCTAACTTTGAGCTCCCAGTGCTAAGTTTAAAAATCTGTTTTCTTTGATCGGATACTTCTAAGGCGGTCATAAAACCGCTATTAAGAGCAATTTTACAACAAGCTTCTTTAATTTTATCAACCTTTTCATCATCAAAACCTTTTAGTTGAAGTAACTTCTTTCTCATAATCATTTGAACTCCTTTTATGGTATTTACACCGATTTTCTTCATTAATTTTAAGTCATCGTTTGAAATATTGTGCTCTATTAATAAATCAATGTCCTGGAAAAACGATTCCTCCTCTTCCAAGCATAGGTTCTCGTCAGATTCAATGGTTCCCGCTTCACTTGTAGTTATCACTTCCATTTTTTCCAATGTCGCAGCCATATTGTATTATTATTTAATTTAAATAAAATTGTTTATTAAAATAACAAACTGTTACGGTTTATTAAAAGCTATACAAAATACTTATCATACAATTTTCTCACTATTTCGTTACTTTACTGTTTTCAGTGTCTTCTTCGTTTTGTATTTGAAATTTCTAATTGTTACGTCACAATACCTATGGGCAAGAGTTGCAGATATCTTGAGGGCGGCTCAAAAAGGAAATAGAACACCAATGACGTCACAGTTAATAGCTTTATTTCTCTATTTTGTGTCATATTTTTAAATAACGAAGAGATAACGATGACGGAAAAGGAACAAGTTCATTCATTCTAACGTTTTTAACCGCCAACTTGTATGTCGAATTCTGATTGTTAGATTACTTCTGTGGTATTATAGCAGTACTGTGTTGCAGGTTGCAGCACTTAAGAAAATAAATAAATATTGGAACTTGCACGAAATTATAAAACCGAGTCATTAATGTTCCATCCACCATCCACAGACTTTAGAAGTCTGTGGTTCCATTAGCTGTCATCGAACTTTTCTAATGAAATTTAAAAACTTGCCCTATTTGAATGATTTTGACACTTTTTACATTTACCAGATGATTTGGAAACGCATACTTGGAGGGAAAATTGAAAAATGTGCAGGTTGTTCTTTGTTTTCTTTTATATTTTCTGTATTTGTAGAATTGAATATTAGTTATTCTCGTCACCAATACTTTCGATACAAATCGCATCTGTTTGAAAATAAAAATGATATAATGCTTTTGGAATGGAGAAACTTGTAATCCAGAATTCATTAAAAAATCACTTAGTGTTCTTCATTCTGTAAATTACAAACTGTGATTTTTTCATTGAACTTACCTAATATTAATGCTCCTCAAATAAGAGTAATCAGAGATTCAAATTTTATAGTTGAAAATGGGAGAGGGATGTGTATAATCTTTTAATTTTTTTCCAAATTAGAAAAAGATATAATTATAGAAACAAACAAGCATGAGTTAAAATCAGTTTATTACTGCTATACGAATATATAAATACGCCTTTGGTTACAAATACAATAATATCATTAAAATTTATTAAAAATTTATGGTAAAGCTACCTATAGTCTTCATGTTTATGGTAAAACATAAAATTATTGAAAAAGAAAATGGAATATTAAAAATGGGATGGAAAATGTTAAGAATTTTATAATACAATAAAATTTTAATGCCTAACTAATGTTTAAGCAAATTAACCTGAATTAACAAAATATTAAAGCTACATATTATTAACTAAAATATATTTTGGAAAAAATCGCTATAAATATAATTTTTGGTATAACTAAAATATTTAATAAAGATATAAAACTATTCGAGTATATTAAAACACTACGTATCCAAGTTTAAAACGGGTTTTCTTTTAACCCTTTCACTGCAGAATTAAGATTACGTTAAAACACATTCTATCTCACCGGCTGGTGATTATTTTAATGTTTCACGATATTTCATTCAATTAATCTACGATCGTATTATCTTGAGCGTAGATGTAACGTTTGACATCGTTCATTGTAAACGAAGCGTTAACACTGGTACCAGCCGTGCAATGTTGGTTGCCTAGGCTCGGCAGTCACATGGATTATAATCCTTTATGAAGTCTTTCTACATACAGGGTGTACACAATAATTCTATGAAAAATTAAAATTTTGATTTCTTGATTTTTAAGAAAATTTTATTCCCGATAGCAGCAGTGAAAGAGTTAATTTAAGTGTGTTACACATGCAAATTTAAATTTATTAAAATATTTTAAGATATAAGGTTCAAAGATATTGAGTTTTCTCATATTTTTATACCTTTTAACACAATACTTCTTTATGCAAAGGAATAATAATTTAATTACTGTCAGGAATGACTAGATAAGATATTCGGTAATACACGGGGTGTTCCAGAATAACATACCATAATCTTTTTCATGGAATTTAAACAAATTAAAAAAAAGATATCTAATTAAAAAAAATCATCAATTGAATTCAAACAGCATTCTTCGACACCAGAAATCTAGGTGCAAAAGATGTCCAACCTCACTAGGAGCAACAGAATATATAAAAAATGATTTTTTTCTATGAATTACGAGTTCCCAATTTTTCGCTTTGAAGATACAGGATATCTTAAACGAATTTTGCCAATATCTTCAAAAGTAATCGACGTATCATACAAAAATGTGGTAGACACGTGTTTTGTGAGGCCCTAAATAACCTGCTATCTTTGGCTTTTTAAAAAGTTTAGTATTTCAAGTCATAATTTTATAAATTTCCTTTGTACCTTTTAATTTTGCACAAAAAAGTAAGTTAAAACTTAGAAGCCAGAACTAATGGAAAATGCAATGTTTTCTGGAGAAAAATTAATTTGCTTTTTTTCCTTTTTTTAATTTTTAGTCAACAATTTAGTGATGTGCACACGACAGACAGTTAGTGGCCGATAATTTTTTATCATTTGCCGACAAAATAGTTGTTAGCGGTCGAGTACATTCTCATTTATTAATTATTACCGGTTAGGCTTGAGAATGCCCGTGAAATATTTAAAATCACCAATTTTAGTCAGCTACTGACGAGAATACAAGGCATGGTAAATAAAATACAAAAACTGCTTTGAAATTAAAAAAGAAACATTTGTAATAAAACACCAATTCAATGGAAACAATTTTTGAAATTAAAAAAATAAACGATTGTTAAGCGTCTGTTATTTAAATGATTTCAGTAATTTATGAGGACACAAAAAACAAAACAGTAAAAATGAAGCGGTTTGGTGGATTTTAAGAGTAAATTTTTTGTATGTAAAATTAAAATATGCACAAGAAAATTGCAGTAGAGCGCAAAATATTACTTGAAACATTCTCGATCTGCGACAAAATGCTCTTCACTATTCTAAAACACCCTGTATAATTTCCTAGAAATATTCCATAGAGAGCCACATTCAAATTTCAAAAATCTTTAATGAAATACATAATCGCTTCACACATTAATAAAATTATTTTAAAATTTTAGACTAAATATGACAGATTTTTTTAAATTTTAAAATAAAATATATTTTTTTCCTGGGCACACGAGCAATGTGACAAAAACATGACCATTGCTATATAATAAACATATAATCTCTTGTTATTTTTTTTGCACCATCCTTCACAATTAGTTATTAACTGATTTGATTGCACCTTGATAAAGTAATAAATATTAAAATTCCAGTACTATTTTTCCTCGCTTCCTGTCAACTACACACATATTAAAAATTTTTAAAACTAAAGAATCAATATCTATTCTTCCATTAAAACTATTCCTAAAATTCGAGACACGGAGATACATACAATGATAGTTAAGTAGATTTTTCACTCTCGCTGCTGAAAAAAAACTCTATGACATAGAAAATCTTACCCTTACTTTAAATCGTAACAAAAATGGTAGTGGGGCGGATCCGGTGGGATCGGCGGAGGATCCTGCGGAATGGTAACGCCTTCGGCATCCAGCAGCCTCAACTTTATTTCCATACTCAACAAGGTATCCAGATCTTTCTCCGTCTCCTTACTTTGCATCCTTTGACCGAGAAGGGCGTTTATTCCGTCCGTCCAATAAGACAGAGCTAATTCGTCGGGAGCCACGCAATCCAGCGATTGCAAATCTACGCCTTCTAGCGCTAAAGAGAAGGCTAGTTGGTGTGATGCTTTCCGCCCTTTCATGTGGGGACAGTCCCTCCCTACTAACAAGGCGCGTATATCGGACACGGCCAGTTTGGATTGCAGTTCTTCCGTTGTAGGGGCGCTTTTCTCGTCGCAATCGCCGTAGTGGAGGACCTTGTGATTAGGAGACAGTCTCATGTACCAGAATTTATCCTTTATCCGTTGACCGCGAGCCGAGTATTTCGTAAATCTGGTACCTGTTAAAGATAAAAACGCAAGAACATAATAACGTTATTATCCAACTCCTTACCTTCAACCAGAAACGCCAGCCTCTGCTGCTTGATCAGCCCTAATATATCCGGGGTGATTTGCTCTCGCAACTCCACGACCGGCTTGGCGTGAGATTCCCATTCCTCCCTCGTGCTCCTCTCCAACTGCCACAACTGAGTGATCTCGCTGTAGGTCAACGACTGTAACTTATTCCTAAGTTGGTCGAGGGAAGAAGGGGTCGTTTCTAGAGCCCTCACTATCTGTTCCCTGCCCACGCTCGCCACCTTACCGAAGTCCTCGGACGTGGCACGCATCTCTTTCCAGGTTTTATTCAGCAGGACGATGCAGATGCAGAAGCATTCTTCGAACGGATGGTCGTGTGTGAAGAACAGCGGCTGATAGGTGACACACTGCTCAGAGGGGGCCTCGCCTTAAAATCCAAATATTGGAAATTTTTACATAAAGAACATGCAACATTGCAGCTTAAACTATGATTGTCCTGGTAGTGTAAAAGTTGGGTAAGAAAGGTTATTCTTTCTTCAGGAAATAGAAAAACAAACCAATATCACTCTGGAAAACGAAAATGGTACAAAAATACACGATTTATTAAGAAAAATCTCAATATTATTTTTAGTTCCACCCGTGTTTAAAATGTTTATAAATTTAAACTGAAATAGAATTATGTAGAGTAAAAAACTATACATGTATTATTCTTTAATTTTTGATTACACAAAGGCACAAGAACATCCCTAAACAAACTTTACGATGGTGTGGACACTATTAACTTGATTTTTTACTGCTGGGATTATTATATCCTCTTGCACAAATTGACATTAATTGCAATTTTTAGCACCCTAACTAGTTAGTATCACGAATGGCAATGAAAATATTAATACATACAAACAGAACATGTTACATATAAAGAAATGTATTTACCAAACTGTTTGAACTTAAATAAATACATACAGTTTAAAATTATTTACAAAAAAAGTATGTGATATGTGCAAAATGCTTTTTTAATTTTTCTGATAAAAAAAATAGAATTCAGTAATAAATTCAAGTTTTTTACCCGAAAAACTGAAGGCTTTTTTGGCGGACCATACTATACAGGGGACTGTAAACGAATGGGCCATAATTCCAGGATAGCTTCCTTGGATGGATGGTTATTTTACCTCTTAAAAGTTTCAGGCCTTGAATTTTGTTTTATTTGATTAATTTTAAGGAAACTCTCTTTTCCAGCAAAACAAAATTGTACTATGATAACTTAAAATTGGAATATTTTTAAATTTTTTAATGGCAATATTCTTTGTCTCGAAAAAAACATAAATGGCAGTGGAGTAAGAGATGTTGTTTACTGGACAGCAACAATATCATACTGTGAGTACACATGTTTACAAGTGACCTATTTTAAGTATTACGTCAAGAGTGCCAGCCTGACACTGCCCGGACTGGTCTACCCGTTGCAAGCGACAAGAAACAATGTGCAATGCGTTATATGGTTCCTGGAAGAGGACCATGGCAGATTGGCGCCAAGAACCAGATACTTATACCTGTGAGCGACTCCACACCACGACGAGTCTCCAGCGAACGCTCGCCCCGACAACATATTTTTTTCTCTACATTAGTTTTCAATAAAAATACTTTTTTTACCGTTGAGTTTTATTTTGCTGCATACCGAAAGCAATCCTCAGTACATATCAGAACTTGTAAGAAGGAAAAACCTACAAAGATGTGGTCAATTCAATATATGACTGATGAACTGGTAAGCTTAAATTCTGTGGGTAACTCTCGCTCCCCCATTTGGTTGCGAAAAGAGGCGTTTGGTATTACCAAAGGCTTTTCTCATGAACTTTATCACGTCATATTCTGAAGACAATTTCTTTGAGTCTTCTGAGAAAAATTTTCTCTTCAAAGAGTCCTCGACGAAAATTTACTTTTTTCGGTGTGAGAGAAAGAGACCCGAAGTACATCCGATGTTTAGACAAAAATAGAGACAAACGTAAGTGAAAAAATCAAAATAAATTTTGTTTTTTGACGCATTTTCCCAGCTGATCGGGCCACGGTGAGTTGTTATTTTGGCGTTAGGTACTGGTACTGGAGAGATATTATAGCGATAAAACTTAATTTGAACATTTTAAATTTCCTGATTACAACAGCAGAAACCCAAAGTTTCAAAAGCCCGTACAAGCACCACCCACCGACAGGTCACCGTAGCTCAATTTGTACACCCTGTATAATTACTATCTGACTTACCTATTTTCAGTAATTCACAAAGAATCCTCACTAGTTCCACGCTCGCTCTGCCAAACGGACACTCGTGTTCATCAGCCCTACAACTATTCTCTAGAACTAGCTTGGTGTAGCTCTCTGGATGATTTCTAGCGAAGTAGATCATGCAATCTAAAGCTAGTAAACCTGGAGGTGTTTCGGTAAAGTCAAGAGCAGGATTTATATCGTTCTTAAAACCTAATTTCTTGTAATCCCTTGTAAAGCCTCCCGGGCCTCTAATATTACCTGCACCCTCACTGTCAAAAGCTATTCTGCGTAATTCCTTTATTTTATCGTGCCCATCTTGGTCCTGAATTAAAAAACTAGTTCAGCTATTAAATGTTTAAAATCTTTTGTGCTTACCTGAGGGTCCATTTTAGTCGTCATTCTCTGTTCCAGCAATCCCAACATGAGAGTTTGAAGCACGTAGAGCTGATGTGCCATTTCAGCCCCCTTGGCAGCCCCAGTCTGCAAAATATTATTCTGAATAACAGTTCTCACTTGTTTGGACGTTAACGTTGCAGACAAGTTACGCCTTTTGGCGGGATCCGCCCTTGAAAGTAAAGCATTTATGAGGGCAACAGCATTTTGCTGTACTACTGGAGTAGCTTGTAAGTGTCCCACCAAAGATCCGATCGGAATTTCACGCTCAACCTGAAAATAAGGAAGTAATTTTTACACTTTAAATGACATACAAATAACAGTTTCAATTAATGACAATAAAGTTATCGATTATAGTAAATTTGCTATGGTCATTTTAGTTACTATTAGAGACAAGAAAAAATGTTTTACCTGTCCATACCCTTCAGTACTGTTTAAGACAACATTTTCTAAAATAGACAGTGCTGCTTGCGTAACCTGAGCTTCTTGTGGTGTATTAACTAAACTCGCAACTCTTGTAATAAAATCACCATTTAAGATATCCCAGGAAACGATCCCGTGTTCCATTAATTCAACGAAAGACAATAAAGTATGTGCAAGTACAGTACCTTTACATTTTCCATTCTCAATTTGTTTAATGATTAAAGTGAGACCTTGTTTATTAATAAAATCTAATGCAAATGTCATGTCAGCACTAAGTATGGACAGCCTGTTCATAGCATGAGCTTTTTCTTCTGGAGATCCTGTATTCAGTTTATGTAGAATATCTTGAGCAGTTTTGGAGGGAGAGTATTGCAGTCGTAGGACTGAACCGTTCTTTATCTCGTTTCTGTTTTTTTCAGTAATGTAATTATTGTTATTGTTCTCATTAAACTGTAAAGCGTACTGTTCTGGTTCAGTTAAATTCCATCCATTGCATAATTCTTGAATTATTCCTGCTAAAGGTTGTTTCTGATTGAATTCTATCAATTGTGGTACCTGATCGGTCATTTCTACCGCTATTTTGACGATGTTCGTATCCTTCATGGCTGGCATCTTGTTGGGCTGATGTTTTAGAAGACAAAGAAACTTACATCGTTAATTCATTTCCTTTTCATATTAATAATTTTATTAAATCACGTTCTTATTGATATATGCCGATGACAACTTAACATTTTGACATTTTGAATTTTGACATTCTCAGTGCCTAAGCGTTTCATCAATCACCAATCAGAGGGTTGTCTCTGCACCAATCAAACAGCAGTGAATAGTGAACAGTTCCTAATTTTTATGCCCTGCCATCTATCGTCCAAAAAATTAAAATTTAATTCCCTTGCTTTTCAAACAAAAAAAGTTTGGTTAGATTTTTAAAAACAAACATAACTTTATATATATTGTACAATGTTACGAAAACTTTACAGATGTAGTCTAAAAAACAGCAATACTTTAATACGATATAATTCTCAAGTTAATAAGAATGTTGTAAGTAAAGACCTTAAAACTGCAAATGTTAGTCTAGAGAAAAGTGAAGAATGTTTTCTGCCGAAAGATACAAAATCTGTTTTGGAACCTCTAGATGAAGATATCTCTTACATATCTACATATCTAAAGCCTACATTTAATTTTGCTGCATATATTAACAAATCTGAGACTCTGCAGCATCTTCTTAAGTTAGGTGTTAATTTACATCAAATAGAAAAAAACGTAGAAGACGTTCAGTTTATATTAGGTCTTAAATTTGAAGACATTAAGGAACATATTATATTTTTAAACAATTTGGGTTTAGCGACGGAAGAAATTGGTTATCTAATTACTAAAAACCCATTGTTATTAAAAGAAGATTTAGAAAATTTGAAAATTAGGATCAATTATTTAGAATACAAAAAATTTTCTAAGGAAATGATAACACGTATTATTAAAGCAAATCCTTTTTGGTTAACTCGCAGGTAAATATTTAAAAAAATTTTTTACGATATATTCCTGAAGATTTATTGTAGCACCCAACAAATTGACGAAAGCCTAGGATTTTTTCAAAATCATTTTCAACTTAATGGGAATGAAGTTAGATTAGTTGCTGTGACATGTCCAAAGTTAATAACAACAAAAATTGATAAAATTAAAGTAAACATCTTCGTTTTAAGAGAAGAAATGGGTTTTAACTATGAAGAATTAAAAAAAATGTTATTAAGGAAACCATTAATTTATATTAAAGGTATATAGACTACCTTCGTTATTTAAGTTAAAGTAGTTAGTTCTTAATTACATTATAAATTTTATATGTGGAAGTATTCTATTAAAAAATTATTCGTAGGACGAGATCGAATGTTAAAATCCTTTGAATACCTTCACAGAGACATGAATATTCCTTCGGAAAGAATTGTTGAAGAACCTGAAATATTAACGTGCCGGCAAAAAAGGTTAATAGAAAGACATTCTTTCTTAAGTAAACTAGGAAGAGCCCAATATGATCCAAAAAAGCCTAACTATGTAGCTTTAACTTCTCTGGTTTCTGGAAGCGATTCAGATTTTTGTGTTGATATAGCAAAGTCTTCTGTCCAAGCTTATAATGCATTTTTAAAAAGTTTATAAATATATATTTATGTAAAACTTATTTTATTTTTTTATGTTCAATATTCATAATGATGATTTTAATGTAATACACATATACGGTGTATAATTACTGTTGACACACGTCAAACTAATATTTTAATGCAATCTCTTAAGACACGTAATATATTGACCATTTTGAATCGAGAAAATTAAAAATAGGTACCAGTAAAAAGACTAATTTTAAATTTACCGCGAATATTAGTATAAAGAAATTTGGTAATCCTGTTAATCTGTGTTGTGTTCTGTGGTGGGCTGTCGTCAACTGTCAGTTCTTATCGTTTCAGTTTTTGCGCCAAAATAAACCGTCAAATAAAAAGCAAGGGATTACGGTTTTTCTAGCTATCGTTAATATATTTCACCAGTACTTTTGAAGCTGTATATGATATAAAGTAACGAGTGATACATTATAGTGAGAGTTAGAATATAACTGTTCAACATTCAACATGACATGTTGCAACTTGTCTGAGGGTGCCTTAGAGGTAAAGTTTTCTCAATATGATGTATCTGTGATGTAATATTAAATTTTTTTTAGGTGATAATGCGGGGTGGTGACTATCACCAACCTGTCTTGCAGATTTTGGGAATCAAAAGAGTAACTTCTGGAAGTGCAGATAAACAACGTCACCGCATAATGGTATCTGATGGAAAACATTCCGTTTCATTTGCGATGTTGACCACCCAGATAATTGAACAAGCTGGACCAATCACTCCTTTAACTGTCATCAAAGTTGAAAGATTTATTACAAGTATGGTTAACAATAGTGGCAGGGAGGACCAGTAAGAAAGTTAAAAAATTCTTTCAGAAATGTACATAACAAGTTTTTTTCAGGCGAGTCTTACTTATTTTGGATATGCATATAGTTGCTCCTGGAGATCAATTTGAAGAAAAAATCGGTTCGCCTACACCACTTGAAATCAGATCCAATGATGAATCTACTAGGAATGGAGGAGCATCAAACGGATATAACGCAGCTGATTCAAGTACTGGGTCTAGATCTATAAATTCAAACACGACTGTTACCAATAGCATAAATTTGAATAGTCAAATCACACATCCAATTTCCAGTCTAAGCCCTTATCATAATAAGTATGCGATTAAATTGTTTTCTTTTTTTTGTGTAACTAACGAAATGTTTTAGATGGGTGATTAAAGCCAGAGTTACCAATAAATCCTCTATTCGTACTTGGTCTAATTCTAAAGGAGAAGGAAAGCTTTTTAGTATGGACCTTATTGACGAAAGTGGTGAAATAAGATTAACTGCATTTAGAGATTCTGTGGATAAATTTTATGATTACATACAAGTGAGTAACGTATAGGTACCTCATGTTGAATAACCCACAGATATATTTTTTTTAAGGTTGATAAAGTATACTACATAAGTAAATGTATGTTAAAACCAGCAAACAAGCAATTCAGCACCTTAAAAAATGACTACGAAATGACTATGACTTCAGAAACTGTTATTCAGGAATGTTTGGAGTCTGACGTGTCGTCTATTCCACAGACTAAATATGATTTTGTTACCATCGATAAGATTTCAAGTTTGGAACAAAACACTATGGTTGGTAAGTAGATAATATTTATAACCAACTTAACTAAAATGAAACTGTTTAGTTTTGTAATTCGTGCTAATCTTGGTACATCTTTATTCGCAGATGTTATCGGAGTTGTTAAAAGCGTCAGCGATTTACAAACATTTCAAGCCAGATCAACGGGAAGAGAGATGAAGAAAAAGGAAGTGCTTTTGGTCGATCAAACAAATACAGCTGTAAGTAACTTAATAGCAGATAATTTTATGCTGTAAAATTATTGTCTAAATATTGTTATAAGGATTAATATATTAATTTCTTGCAGGTAACATTAACCCTGTGGGGTGCCGATGCAGAGAACTTCGACGGCACCAACAATCCCGTGGTGGTCATAAAATGTGGCCGGATATCGGAATTTGGAGGAGGAAAAAGTATATCCAGCATAGGCAGCACCAACATTAAAATCAACCCCGATATGAAAGAATGCTATCGTATTCGTGGCTGGTACGACAGCGAAGGAAGTAACATAGAAACGACAAATATAAGCGCCAGATCGGGTCTTGGAAACTTCTCTGCACCTTGGATGAGCTTTAAGGAAGTGACGGATCAGGGCCTTGGCAACGGCGAAAGGGGCGATTACTATCAAGTTATGGGAACCATTTTGTTGATAAGGACAGAGAACGCCATTTACAAGGCGTGCCCCACCCCGGACTGTAATAAGAAAATTATCGACATGGAAAATCAGATGTATCGGTGCGAGAAATGCAACAGGGAATTTCCGAACTTCAAATATCGCTTGCTGGCAAGTGTAAGTATGAGTGGTATTTATAAATTGAGGCGCTTGTAGTAGCGACATTGTAGAATAATTTCGTAAACATTTGCAGATGAACGTTGGAGACTGGAGCGGCAATCAGTGGGTGAGCATGTTCAGTTCTGAAGTAGAGAAGGTCCTCGGTATGACTTCACAGGAAGTGGGTGAGCAAATTGAGCAGGATTCGGAGGCTATGGCCGCTATCGCCGATAAGGTTCACTTCAAGCAGTTCGTCATGAAGTGTCGTGCAAAAATGGAAACGTACAATGTAAGATTTCCAGTTAGCGGCCTAAATTTTCCATTAATTAATGTTTTCTTTTCAGGACGAGACACGTTTAAAAACAGTTTGCATTAAAGTCGACCCTATCAACTACGAGGAGTATAATGCCCATTTGATCGGGAGGATTCAACAGCTCACAAATTAAATTATTTAAGTTAGATTTACGATCTTATATGTTAAGTTTGTTTATATTGTTCAAGGTATATTTTTAGTTTTTTTAATCTCTTCTACACATTTAAATGCATTAGTTTTATAGTACCCGTAATTTAATGTATTTTGTTTTTGCTTATACTTATATATAATAATAAAGAATTTAAAAAAATATATTTTTCTATTTCGATGACTGGAAAGGAACGTTTAAAATCACAAATTTTGGATTATCTTTTATTTCAGCACTAGTGTATATTTTTTTGAAATAAAGATGTGAAGCAGTATTTGATTCAGTATTTATAAATAAAAATTTTCCTCATTTATTTATGAATAAAAAGAGTATGAACAATCCTATACGAAAATCTAAATCGGTAGCAGCTGCTGAGGTACCACAATTTCACACACAAAATTTCTTGGGCAGACCACTATTATGTATATATGATACAGATCCTTTGACAATAATCGTAGTACAGTATTAACATATACACTTTTCCGTAAATAAACAGGTTTAAAAAAAATTGTGACCTTGGACAAGTCAACCATATTAAAAAGGAGTAAATTCTTAAATCTTCTATGGATCTATGAATGCGAATGGGATATATGAACTACTTTGTGTTAACCATATATGTAATACTACTATATATATGGTGTTAACTAACATATTCTAAAGCGGTATGTTGGGATCGTGTGCAAAAAATTATCGAAAACCATAGTTTGATGACAATGACAATACTGATGTAGCGCCTACTGGTAATTAGTAATGGTTCTCACCATGATTAAATAAATAGTTACTCATACTCATATGAACGGAAAAATCTTACTGGAAGAAGAAGAAGAATATATTGCAATGACTTTTAGTTTTGAGGTTATGTTTGTAATGATGTTCTACGTGAAAATTGTAAATAAAGTGCTATAAATAAAAAATCTCTAAAAATACATTTCCCAAGATTATCTTATTTAAGTTAAACAATGTCTGGAGGTACTGTTTGTGTTCTAGCTCTAAATGGAAGAAGACAGACTGTTAAATGCACACCTAATACTACAATTTTACAGGTAAATATATTTTCTCCCAAAGATTGTCACTATTTAAAGCACATATAAGTAAATGTTAGAGAGGAATTCTAACTAAACTATAATAAACTAAAATAGTTAATTAAGGCTTTGAGAACTCAAAGTGTATTTAACGATTTTGAGCTTGAAGAGAATTCAGCGTAAGTATTTGATTTATTTTTAGATTCTCGAAGATGTCTGTAGAAAGCAAGGTTTACAACCAGAAGAATATGACTTAAAACACCATAGTAAAGTACTAGATACAACGACAACATTTAGATTTTCAGGCTTACCTAATAATGCTCAATTAGAATTGGTGCCAGCTTTAAAAATTCGCAATGAAAGTGATGTTATATTGGCTGTGAATTTAGAAAATGGTAGTCGACTTATTGGAAATTTCAGTCCAAATGACACTTTGTTAAATGTACTAAACAAACTTTGTCCTGAAAACATCAGACAGGATACAAATCCCGTTGTAGTATATACTAGAAGAGAAATATATGGGAAAGAATTGGAAAATGTTACTCTACGAAGTTTGGGTCTGACGGGAGGTAGGGCTATGATTCGGTTAATGCACAGATCTCCAGAAGATCTCAAGACTCAAGCTAACATATCTGCGCCACTACCCTCAAAGCCTGTTGAAGAGAAACCATATGTGCGTAAATTGCAGCGTGTTCCCACTCCTCCAAGAGTGGAAGAAAAAATCCCAGAAACTAAAAATAACAACGAAACAGAAGACAAAAAAGAGGAAACAGAAGAATTTCAAAAGCCTCAACTGTTTCAGAAAAATCACAATGTAGACCTTTTAAAATTGGCTCGAGAAAAAAGGAAGAGTAACGATTCTTCCCCATTAAAAACCGAAGAGAAACGCAAGACTATTGAAAGGCATACCAATTTAGAAGAACAGAAACTCACAAAAGAAATATGCGAATGTAGAAGGGATGAGTCAATGGAAGTGGACTGTTGTGGTAAATGTCAAGAAAAGTGTACCAACATAACAGAGAGTATCGAGGATGAATTTGTATTTGTAAGTGCATGTGTAGTTTCATTTCAATTCTTTAAAAATATAGTTTTCAGCTTGGCGACAGAAATGCTATGCTGTTTTCTCTAGAGACGGCTCAAGCGGTACCAAGCGAGGATCTTCCAGACGATTTCTTTGATTTAACGATAGATGATGCTAGAAAAATTCTTCGAGATGTTAAGAAGCAAAAACTTGGTACGGATAACGCGCCACTTATGACCTCAGCTCTTAGAAATCTAGAAGAATCAAAGAAGCAATTAAGGCAACTCAACAAATATAAGAAGGCCGTTATCAGAGTGCAGTTTCCGGACAGAACGGTTTTGCAGGGCACTTTTGCACCAGTGGATACCATTGGGGACGTTGTTAAGTTTGTTAAAGAATATTTAGAGGATAAATCACTAAATTTTTATGTCTGTAAGTTGAAAACAAATTAATGAAAGCATGATAGCGTATTAATTTGCCGTTTTCTTTTAGACTGTACCCCTCCAAAGTGCATCTTAGATGAAAATAAACGGTTGATCGAGCTTGGATTTGTTCCCGGAGCAATGGTACATTTCGGTACTCATTCTGCCAATTCGAAAACCAATTACTTGAGGAAAGATTTACAGAATAAGTTTACAAGCAATTCAGTGGCAAGTCTAGCTGCGGCAAAGATGAGGTATGAGAAATTTGTGACTAGCAGTGATATAGGAGAATCATTAAATGTTTAACTGTGTATTTATTTAAAAGTAAAATCATATTTTAGGAGTCAAAATACGAGATGTTTGGCTTACGAAACGGAAGACTTCGAAATAGACGAAAGCACCTCTAACGATACCAATGTTGGGGCTAGTACTAGTTCAGGAATAACACATGAAAATTATACAGAACGAAAAATTATAAAATCAACAGAAAAAGTACCAAAGTGGTTTAAGCCATAGGATATACATTTTTTCTTTTATATTTATTTTGTAAATACAAAGCATATTAAATAAAATGCATACATGATGTTTTATGTTTTATTTAATGTATAATTTTCTTACAAATAAGGTAAAAAATATAAAAAATGCAAACTGTTGGATACAAAAGGACTAGATTTGTGTAACTGCGCATTTAATTACGATACTAGCAACAATCTAATATCTCGTACGTTTCGCTTAACTGCGGTATGATTTGCACAGTAGCCAAATTTGTACTAAAAAAATAAAGCTTTTACCATGTATTTGACCCGATTCATTTAACTATTTAATCGAAAATAAATCTATTTTTCAGTTTGAAACTGTATATTAGGGTGGCCCAAAAAAAACTTTTTTTTTTCGTGTTGTGAAAATATGTTAGTTTATCACGTTTTAAGAGCCCCCTCACAAAATCAGCTCAAACAATTTTTTATCAGAGGTCGCTCAAGATTTAAAAATTTCCAAAATCGTCAAAAATTTAATTTTTTTTAATTTCTTTTCTCGTTATCATTTTCTAGGTTGAAAAAAATCTCGATTCTGAAAATTTCAAATTGATATTTTAATTTCTAAAGGTCACTCATAATTATTTTAACTTTAAAAGTGGTGTACCTAAATTGTTTTCGAACAACCTAAAAATACATAACTATAAATTTTTTTTACTGAATTTAATGAACAAATGAATAGAAGTAAATCACGAGACACTTGAATTTTAAAAAATTATAAATATTTGATACAGTGCGGTACTAAAATTTGCCTCGAAAAATTTTTTAGGTCTCGTGATTCATTTCTATTCTATTGTTCATCAAATTCAATTAAAAAAATTATTAGTTCATAATATTTATTTTTAGAGGTCACTCGAAAACATTTTAGGTACACTACTTTCAGAGTTAAAATAATTATGAGTGACCTTTAGAAATTAAAATATCGATTTGAAAATTTCAGAATCGAGATTTTTTTCAACCTAGAAAATGATAAAATAACGAAAAAATTAAAAAAAAATCAATTCCTGACGATTTTGGAAATTTTAAAAAATCTTGAGCGACCTCTAAAAAATATTTTTTGAGCTAATAAAAATATTCGTTTTTTTTGGGCCACCCTACTGTATGTATTCAACAAATGTATAGACTGCTAAAAAGCTACACAAATATAAAATGGCAGTAATCTATTTTTGTTATACCTAGATCTAAAAACTAGCAATTTAATTAATAATTCTTCGAAAACACAACAAATACGATTTGCAAAGTTTATTTAAACAAAATTTAATAAGGAAAATATCCCGAACTTAAAAGTCTAAGCGCTTGCAGTTTTTTTACTAAATGAATAAGACCTCTCTTTTCGGGTGGTAAAATATTCCCACGCACAACGATAAATACTGTTTACATATGGGAGTTATAGGAGCTGGATTAATGCTACTCTTATGTCAGTGCTACAGACGCTAATAACTACACTACAATTTGGCAACTACAAAGAGAGGCACTTAATTAGTCATAATACACATGACAGGATTTATCTTGGATGCAATATTTAAATACCTCCGATCTTATATTGTTTACTAGGAAAGAGTTTATAGCAAAATTTAATTAAGGTCGCCATATAACACTTAGAATAGCCAGACAAAGAAACTTTCTGTTACTACCGTCTGGGAATATAATAATTCAACATAAAACTGAATATTATGTACGGATGATATCCGCAATAGCCGAAATCGACCACTGCCCCATTTTTTTTGTCTGAAACTTGTTATGGGTATGCGTTTAGAGTTTTTCTTCGAACAGTGAGTAAAGCGAATTAACCAGAACACATTGGGGCAAAATATGTCGCCGACAACGTGAAATACTTATTTCACGACTGTTTTTGTTTTGCCCACGTCGCTTTACCGAGAACGTGTTTTGAATAACACAATGAATACAAAAACAGAGGGGCTGCCAAGCCGGGTGTCTTGAACGGTTTCCAGATGGACAAAAAATTTTTCTCACGAACGTCAGTTTTTCGGTAATGAAGTAAAAATTTCCAGATTCATTTAAAATGAAAATTACATCGAAGTATTTACGGAACCGCAGTAAAATATGAAAATTCACTAGCACTTACCGAGCATATCTTACCACTAGCGTCTCGTTAAAACTAATAACAAGCAGTCCAGTTGCAACATGTTCGGGATAAAACGCAATAGCCAGAATGCGACGTCGGCAAAAGAAATGCCCACAAAGCAAAACAAAGGCGCACAAACACTTATTTCGCGTTGTGGGTGGCATACTTAACCTACAACGCATTCTGGTTAATTTGCTTTAGTCGTTTGAAGAAAAAGTATCTGAACACATCATAAGCAAATTACCATACCCATAACGTGTTTCGGACATAAAAATAGAGCAGTGGGCGATTTTGGCTATTGTAAATAACATGGACACTGACGATGGGTATAAACATTAACGAGAAATTTAATAGATGATGCGTTATTGAGAGTAGTTTGGTGAAGAAACTCTAAAATTCCCACTCAAGAGTTACAAATATACTCTCACTGTTACACGTATACACGGTGCTCCAATATTCCGTTTACATGAACTCCCATATATTCTTGGGATCAAAATACAGATTGTCCCAGAAAATTAGGACCACATACTGGGATTAGAATAGGACGATTTTAACCAACCAACCTATATACAAAAGCACCTACTGAGATATACATATTTTAGTAGATTTAATGTCGATGATTTGTCTGTTCCATAACGTTTTAAATTGTTTTAAAAAATTTGTTTTGAAACATCTTTGGACAGAGCTAAAATTTGTTATACGTCTTATTTTGATCTCGAGTACCTGTGGAAGCTCTGTACGTGGAATATTGGGGTTTTCGGTATATATTATAGTACCAGTAAATACTAACAGGACAATCATATCCAAAATTATTCTTAAGATGTGCATGCAAGTGAATAAACGCAAATTATTACTAGATAAAGGTACGTTACGTAAATAGAATGGTGCAGTTTCAAAATTAAATATAAATAAAATTATATGTTCTTAAAAAAAACTTGAAGTAGACATTGGAAGACTAACGCTCAAATTATTTTCCCGTTAAACCTAATAAAAGAACGTATTTTGATTATTTCAATTGTCTTTCGAAACAAAACTTATTTGTCTGTATTACAAGGTGGTTCAAAGAGTTAATATTTAGATGCACTGTAGAAAATTTGATAAGAGTAGGTGGAAAGGTGGGGTTTCTTAACCGATAGTTCCTCTCAGGGAAAAAGTGACCGCAAAAATCGCCCGTTTTTTCACAATTTCCAGAGAACTAAAGAAAATAGATAAAAATATGATTTTAGTCTCAAATTACTCGTCGTAAAAAATTTAGATGAGCATAACTTTTAGTTTTTCTATTCTCTTCAAGAATTTGAAAAATACACTCAAGACACTTGGTTCCAACAGGACGGAGCCACCTGCCACACTTCCAATCTCTCTTTGCTCGTCTTTTTCTGGGAAAATTGATTTCACGAAGAGGACATTCAGTGGCCCCCCCGAAGCCCTGACCTGACTCCCTGTGATTTTTTTCTATTTTTTTTATGGGGATATCTTAAAAGTCGAGTGTACTACAACTGCCCCGCCACTCTGGAAGATCTAATGATCCGAGTTATGCAAAATTTTACAGGTGGGCTTCAGGAGTGCCAGGACGGAAATGGGGCGCAGTTAGACATTGTTATCTTTAGAGCATGAATTTCCAAGAATTTTTGTAAATTAAAAAAATAAATTGTTAGAATTGATCAGTTTGTTTTTTTATTGTTTAATTTCAAAAAGTTAACAACTCTTTGGACCACCTTGTACTTACGGACGATGCAGTAAAATTGGGCAATAATTTTTTAGCGAGATTTCACGGCTAACTTCCTTAAAAGTTAACGAAAACCTGATTAGTAACACTATAAAACTGCAAAATAAGCTTAAATCTATTTTACTGTGAAAAATAAACACTGCACATAATTTCTGCAACGAAAAATGCATCAGAGAAATACGTCTCGTACTTAATCTACGTTTTCCCCACTTCCTCTGGGATCCAAATGAATACCCATGGGTCCGAGCATATTGCTTGAAGGCCCTGCTTCCCCGAGCTGTGACCGATAACTTTCCAAAATATTTTTCAAAGCGTTCACGTTGATGTCGACAGGCGTGAAGCTTTCCACATCCTCGAAGCTATCGCCATTGCGTTTCTGAAAGCTGTCTCCAATGGTGGTGGCTGCTAATTCCCTGTCCATTTCCTCCATATACTGCTGCATTTTATTCTTAACCTCCTGATATGATTGATCTTTAACGTAATTGTCCTCTTCGTATTCGCTCATGTCCGAATCCGATTCTAAGTTCCACGAATCGTCTTCGGGGATGGCGAAATTTAAAATGTTTTGCACGGCGCAAGCGAATGAATTCGGGTCGAAATTGATTTTATTATTCGTCGGTTTTTGCTCTGGTTTCGTGTCTTGGGAGAAGGATACCTTGCTTTTATTTTTACGCCTTGGCGGTCTGACTGGAGAAGGATCTTTATCGGGATATTCCGCTCCTTCGATACCGGAGACATGGTTAAGAAAAGTGGCCACTTTTTCAGTAAATTCAGAAGCGTCACTGCTGTTATTTACGCTAAATATTTTCTTCTGGCCATATTTCTCTTGTAGCATTTTGTCCAATTCTTCCGGGCTGATATTCAACCAAGAATCGTCGTCGTCTTTCGGCAGGTTACCTTCTCCGATTTTCATTTCTTCCGCATTGTAATCCAACGTCTTTATAAGCTCCAAAATTTCTTGACCGATGACGGGGTTATGGTGCATCGTATCGCGGTGATTAATGTAATATTCTTTCGCCTTATTCAGTAAATTGTTATGGTCTATGGAATGTTCTAAAAGACCCTTGAAATATCCTTTATCGTTTAAGCTCTTCAAATATGTATGCCATCCTCTATCAGCTTCGATATCTGCACTGGGTTTGGCTTGGGAAACTAATATTTCAAATCCACACGCCACTTTCACTCCTAATAAGTGTGCCTTATGATCAGGAGAGTTAGACGCCGGCAGATTCCAGCCCGTTCGTCGATCTGGCATATAGTTGCTGTGGATAAGCATGGCATACAAACATTTTGTAAATGTAACATTGGTCAGTACCCTGTTCTCTGGAGGAAAATATTTCATGGCTCTGCAGGACTTCATATCAATAGGATCTCTATTGCAGAAGGCTTGCACTGCTGGTGAAATCAGATTTGGTTTGTGTTTCAAAATAGCAGCTATCGCTACGGGGACATAGATGGTAGCTCTGTGGAGGTTATTCTTTGCTTTAGCAGGATAGCCATTTAATTTATTTTTAATAGAATCCTGGACTTCCAGCGATGCTAAAGTTTCAAGAGGTTTCTCTCTAATATGTGAAACCGCTTCTTTGACAGAAATGTTACAGTCTTCTGGAGAATCAGGAGGGACAAGATGGACATTTCCATCACTTAGAAAAACCTGGAGTAAAAAATTATCAATTATAACAGAGTGGAACTTACATTAAAAGGAAATGGTGATTTAAAATTTTCCGATGACAATTTCGTTTTTGTTGATCAGTTAATATCTCTGATTTACTCTCACTTTTTAGACGTCATATTATTTTATATCCGCAAATATTTCACGGAACCAATTATTTCCTGATGCTTTTACTGACATGACCACTGATTCCTGTCTGACTAAAGCAGGGGTGAAGTAATCGAGTACATGAAATAGTTGCAGACATAAAGTAATACATCAAAAAATTACACATTTTGTCCAGCAATAAATTTACCAAAGTGCATTTTATAGTGAGGTTTGATGAAAAAAGTGCTTTAAGTAAAAAAAAATTTCTTTTAAATATATATATCTTCCATTTTTCCTCGTAATGAACAGAGTGGGGAATACATTAAATCTATTTATAATATATATATAATTGCAAAAAAAATAGTAAAAAATACAACATACCCTATTTTCACAAGTGTCTGGATATGCCCAACTTGGTAAAAAATCGGCAGCCTCAATCAAAAGAAACTCTCCATCGACATCATATACTCTGGCAATCGAACCATTAATTTCTTTAGTCAGCTGTTGTAAAATAAATACAATAAACCATTCATCTTCTATGTTATCTCCATAGTGAGAGACACCATAAAGATGAGGGGGTAAATTTTCTAGGAAAGACAAATAATAATAAATGACTGCACACTTAATATAATAATGAAATCAATACTACCTTTTTTGCCTTCGATATGACTGAGGGAGTTGTAAATCGATGTTCTGGGAACTAGTTTGAACTCATCTCTGTGCCATAAATAGTCAGTTGTGTATTTTTTCACAATTTTATTTGCCTTGCTTAATACACTCGATAGTATAGTTTCTTCTTCTTTTTCATTACATGCTTCTATATGTGGAAATAGAAAATATTCTACAAAATCGTCTTCACGAACCGTTTCGAGAATATTGTTTAAACTTAAACCAGCCATTTCAAAATGATTAATAAAACTGTCATCTGTCATCTGTGATCACAAATGCTAATGTCAAGGAGGGAGGCGGAAGAGGCAGAAGAATGATGAACTTAGGTGCATAAAATTCAAAGTTATCGATAGGCTTTTTCGTTTCATGTAATCGGATTCAAAACTGTGTTAACATAGATTAGTGTGTTAATCCGACAAAACGTCTGTGGACAAAACTTTAACTCCGCATTATAGTAATAAGATTTCTGAAATTTGTGTGACAGGCATACATGGACAACTTAACACAAGTTTAACAGGCTGATTCACTTCACACAACACAAGCATAAGTGTGTTTATAGTAATGCAAGTCTATGCGACACATTTGAATTTGATGGTGCTAATTTAGTGCCAGTGATTGCTTGTTTTTAACCGACTCTTTTTACCAGATTAGAATTCGTGACCAAATTTTATGCGTGATAAGTTTTTCTGAGCAGGAAAGAAGCTCTCAAGAATATTTTTTAATCGATTTGAGTTCACTTATAAGAATGATTAAATTTCTTTTTACTTACATTTTGTAAAAATATTTACAAGCACTGAAAATCTGACGCGATTGATTATTCACACATGGGTTCAACCACAAGTTTCAACAAGCACTCTCAGTTGATTGTAGCGTTACGTACGGGATCACCTCTTTCCTAGTGAAACCAAATCAACCAACATATTAATTTGGTTGTGTTAACATTCGAAGGTCGCAAATATTTGGATATTACCATCTGTAGCTAATTTTTGGTAAATTGGAGGGAAATGTCATAATTTATAGGTTAAGTTATGTGAGGGATTCCTTGTTTGGGCGGGTAATTTTTATAAGTTTTCAATGAATTCCAGGAAAAAAGTGAGTAAAAGTGTCATAGTTCAATCCGGGTTTTTAATTTATAGAAACGTGTATTCATAATAATTTTATTTTCTTCACAATGGACTGTTACATTTTCATTTTTCTCTAAATACATGTTTAGATTTAAAAAGAAAGTACAATTTATATAAAAATGGCCAAAGCCAAAGTCAGCGCAGATTGGAAAAAGCGGGTGAAGCAGGAATATATGCGTTTGAGACAGCAAAAACGATATAAGAGAGCTGATGATGTGAAATTGGCTTGGAATCAAAACCGCAACAAAATGACTGAAACCTTGATTGCGGAACAGAAAAGATGGACTGAAAGCAAAGCCTTTTGGGTACCAACCCCAGAATTACCTGCCCATGTGACCTGCATGAAAAAAGCTGAGGTTATAGGAAATGAAGGTAAGAGCTGCCATAAACCAGATAGTTAACTTGTTAAATGCTTTTTTTAGGGGATATTCAGGTGGCAGCGATTAAAATTATAAATGCCGTGACCCCCATACCAACCATGTATACTTGGGCACCAATTCAACAAAATTTCATGGTCGAAGATGAAACTGTTTTACATAATATTCCTTATATGGGAGATGAAATTTTAGATCAGGATGGTACATTCATCGAAGAACTTATCAAGAACTATGATGGCAAAGTTCACGGAGACCGCGAATCTGGTTTCATTGACGATGAACTATTTGTTGAATTGGTTCATGCTTTAATGCAATATCAGGAGAAGGACAAGCCCGAAAAAAGAAAGGATGACAAGGACAAGAAGGATGATAAGGAGAAGAAAGAAAAAGAAGTGGAGGAAGATGACAAAGAGAAGAAAAAAGAAGAGCTAGAGTTCCCAGCTTTTGTAATTTTTCAGGCCATTTCGCTGCAGTTTCCTGACAAGGGAGGCCCAGAAGAGTTAAGAGATAAGTATGTTTTAACTAGTGTCAAGGTAGAGTATGTAGTTTTATATTTACTGATACAAATTTTTAAGGTTTCGCTTTCAATGTTTTAAAAGTTTTCTGCAAATTAAAAAATTGCTTTTTAATCAGTTATTACATTTTAAAACCAATAGGACAATCAATTTATTTTGGAATCGGAACTGTTCTATTAGATTTAATAAATTTAGAGCGTGTTTATTCATTTTTAATTTCTAGGTACGTTGAATTAACAGAAAGGACTGATCCTAATGCTCCACCTGAATGTACTCCTAACATAGATGGGCCTAATGCAGCTTCCGTACCTAGAGAACAGACTATGCATTCGTTCCACACTCTGTTTTGTAGACGTTGCTTCAAGTACGATTGTTTCTTGCACAGTGAGTATTAACATCCCTATTCCCGCAATGTCGTTTATTAATAAATTTAAACTTCTTTACCTACATTTAATTTTAAATTATTTAGAGCTAGTGTTAGTGTAGACCGATACTTATCAGAACACCTGAATATCAGGTTGTTTATTTTGTTTTGCTGCACATTTTAGGACAACAAGGTAAAAATCATAATGTAATCAATTTTATGCATCTTAATTTCATCTACATTCATATGAAGTGGTTCATTCGTAGTTTAAATTCAGAATACCTTCATTTCACAATAGATGTCATAATCAAGGTCCTCAAATTACTTAGATATTTGTTATCATCACATAAATAATTATCGTAATCGGTGAATACAGCAACTTTTTTATTAATGAATGCGTAACATTTAGGGCTTCAAGCTTGCCACCCAGGCCCCAATCTGCAGAAGAGGAGAGGCCCAGATCTGAAACCTTTTACAGAACCCTGCGGATCAGACTGCTATATGCTTTTGGTAGCCCCCTTTTTTTAAATTACTAAATAATTTAATTTACTAATTAAAAAGGAAAAGTGATTTTAATCGGTGGCCGTTTTAAGGATGTGGTGAAGGAGAAAATGGCTGCCAAAGCCAAACAGGAAGAGGAATGTGAGAAGGAGAAGGAAATAAAGGTGAAGAGTACTAGATCCATTGGGGAGTCGTCCGATCCCAAAGTAAACGGAGTGTCGAGTCTGAGGAAAATTTGCAAACAGCAGAGTGTGGACTCTGGAAATGAGGCCAGTTCGGAGGACAGTAACGATAGTAACAAGTACAAAGGTAATTTTTATTAGTATTTACATGTACCTCTTGCAGATTGGTCCAATTTCAGTTCTTTTGGGGAGTTCCTCATATTCCGTTAGAAGATAGAGAAACAGTTTAGGAACTTCTAGAAAGGTTGGAAAAAAACTTCCTTTCGATATTTTGAATCATTCAGGAGATATAAAACATTATTTTGGTCATTTTTTGTTGTCAAATAACTTCTTTATTTGGAAAACAAAAATTTTTTTATTCAGTCAAATCTAGTGATGTGTGATATTTTTCCATAACTTCCGGTTTTTTAATTAAAACCCATTTATGTTTTTTCAATTGAAATTATTTTATGATACAATCACGTGGGTTATTTGTGTATCTTAATTGCATAACATTTATTTTTTGTCGTTTTTATTTTTTATACTACTTTTATTCTATTTTTCTTTTATATTTTATACCGGGTGTCCCATTTTAATTGATACACATAAATATCTTGTCAGACCTTGACAAAGTGGAGGCCAAGGACGAATCTGGAGGTCGACATCTTATTCCGAGACTGCTGTAAGGGTGACAAATCATTTAAACTCGTTGTGACCTTGACCTTGAGCTCAAAGTCAAAGTTATGATCATATCCGGATGTAAAATTTTCTGCTGAATCCATTTCCAGGGTTAAAAATAGGGGGTCCCATTTAAAATTGCGAAGCTGACCTTCAAGGTGAAGCCAAGGTCACATCCTAGGTAAGCAGCTGGTTTCTCCCAGTCAATTGAACAACTTTTACTTTAGGCCATTTTTTGATTGGTGGCTTCTCTGACGAGATATTTACGTGTATCAATTAAAATGGGACACCCGGTATATAAATTTTGTTATGATACATGACTTGAAGGANATTTGATCAAACTTTGACATTATTTTATTAATATTTCGAACTACATTTACAAATTTTTTTCAAGTCGTTTGTGTTGAAAATGCCGATGTTATGAGGTGTTGTCCATCGAAGATCATCGTCCGAATTGTTCATGAGAAATGTAGAGGTCGCAATTTTGATCTGAAAGCAAAATGGTTGTTTTCCTGCATTCTCATTGCTGGTAAAAATTGTGAAAATTGAAGTTTTGACAAGTGTTTGAAAAAATTGTATCAATTTTCACCATTTTTTTTCTCTTTTTATATTTTATACCGGGTGTCCCATTTTAATTGATCCACATAAATATCTTGTCAGACCTTGACAAAGTGGAGGTCAAGGACGAATCGAAGGTCGTGACTGAGTACATTGATGTAAATCCCATCGATTCTGGAGGTCGACATCTTATTCCGAGACTGCTGTAAGGATGACAAATCATTTAAACTCGTTGTGACCTTGACCTTGAGCTCAAAGTCAAAGTTATGATCACATCCGGATGTAAAATTTTCTGCTGAATCCATTTCCAGGGTTAAAAATAGGGGGTCCTGTTTAAAATTGCGAAGCTGACCTTCAAGGTGAAGCCAAGGTCACATCCTAGGTAAGCAGCTGGTTTCTCCCAGTGAATTGAACAACTTTTACTTTAGGCCATTTTTTGATTGGTGGCTTCTCTGACGAGATATTTACGTGTATCAATTAAAATGGGACACCCGGTATATAAATTTTGTTATGATACATGACTTGAAGGAAAATTTTAAGCAAATTTAAAAAATTGGAAAAGTGTGAGATGTTATCAACGATCATATTATTTTGAGCGTAGAAGCATGATCATGTATTGAGAAACTAATTTATAGAAAAATCTACATAAAACGAAAAAATTAATAAAAATAAACATTTTTCACAAATAAGCCCTGTATTAAAATATTGAAATATTAAGTTATGGCTTTCTCCTTTCAACTTTTTCTCAAAAATAAACCCCAAGACGTTTGAACTACTTTTCGTTTTATTCCTTGGGAAATACAAGAAATCCTCCAGAAGCGTCGAAATTGGCAACCTTGAAAATCTACACATATTTCGGCTAGAATACGATTACGCCACTTGATATACCTTAAATTTTAGATACCGACGGGTCCGATCCGGTATCGACAACAACTTCCTTCAGCCTGTTGGGCCTGATGGGAGCGAATGATCACAATGAATGGACCGGATCGGACGAGAGCCTGTTCAGGGCCCTTCACAAGGTGTTCTTAAATAATTATTGTGCTATTGCGCAAATTATGCTAACCAAAACCTGCCAACAAGTAAGTCTAATGAATAAATAATAAATCTGGCAGAATTCACCTCCAAACGCTTGATATGCGTCCGTTTGCAGATATATTACTTTGCTCAAAAGGAAGCAGCAGACATACCTGCTGAGGAGGCGGTGCGGGACTACACCCCTCCTAGGAAGAAGAAGAAGAAGCATCGCCTTTGGTCCATGCACTGCCGTAAGATACAGTTGAAGAAGGAGTCGAATAGTAACCACGTGTACAACTTTACGCCATGTGATCACCCCGGACAGAACTGTGATCATAATTGTCCGTGCATTGGCGCCCAGAACTTCTGCGAGAAGTTTTGCCAGTGCAGTTCAGACTGTGAGTAATTTAAAATTATTTTAGTGCTTCGTTACGTTGTGACTTTTTATTCGCAATAAAGAAAAAAGTTATTTAGGTTCAAACGGACCCGTATAAATTTTTATTTTTTTTTAGGTCAAAATAGATTTCCGGGGTGCCGGTGTAAGGCGCAGTGCAACACGAAACAATGCCCTTGTTATTTGGCTGTCCGGGAGTGCGATCCGGACCTTTGCCAAACTTGCGGCGCCGATCAGTTCGATATCACAAAGATAACGTGTAAAAATGTCAGCGTTCAAAGGGGTTTACGTAAGATAAAACACGTTTGTTAATTATTTAAGGTAACTTTCCGTGAATTTTCAGATAAACATCTGCTGATGGCGCCCTCGGATGTTGCCGGTTGGGGCATTTTCTTGAAAGACAGCGCCCAGAAGAACGAGTTTATTTCGGAATATTGCGGAGAGATTATTTCCCAAGACGAGGCCGACAGGAGGGGAAAAGTTTATGACAAGTATATGTGTAGTTTCTTGTTTAATCTCAATAACGGTGAGTGCTTCTATTTATAATTTTCCAAGTCTACGGTTAATGCTCTGCTTTTCAGATTTTGTCGTGGACGCCACTCGTAAGGGGAACAAAATTCGTTTTGCCAACCATTCCATCAATCCAAATTGTTATGCCAAAGTTATGATGGTGAATGGGGATCATAGAATTGGGATATTCGCCAAGAGGCCTATACAGCCTGGTGAAGAATTATTCTTTGATTACAGGTGAGATTTTTTTTTTTGGTCGTTTAGGTACTTAAGAGGCTGATTTTCAGGCATTTTGTCTTGAATTTTTTTGAGTCGGACAAATTGATTAGAATTTAATCAAACTTTGACATTATTTTGTTAATATTTTGAACTCCCTTTACAAATTTTATTCAAGTCGTTTGTGTTGAAAATGCCGATGTTATGAGCTGTTGTCCACCGAGGGTCATCGTTCGAATTGTTCATGAGAAATGTGGAGGTCGCAATTTTCGTTTTAAAGCAAAATGGTTGTTTTCCTGCCTTACTAACATATTTTCTAAGAATATGAACCTCATTGCGAGAAAAATTGGGAAAATTCAAGTTTTGACACGTGTTTGAAAAGAATGTATCGATTTTCACCATTTTTTTCTCTTATTTTGAAGTAAAAACACTTAAAATTATGATATCCCAATGGTTCATTCCAGAATGGGAAAAATTGATTAGCATTTGATCAAACTTTGACATTATTTTATTAATATTTTGAACTACATTTACAAATTTTATTCAAGTCGTTTGTGTTGAAAATGCCGATGTTATGAGCTGTTGTCCATCGAAGGTCATCGTCCGAATTGTTCATGAAAAATGCAGAGGCCGCAATTTTGATCTGAAAGCAAAATGGTTGTTTCCCTGCATCCTCATTGCTGGTAAAAATTGTGAAAATTGAAGTTTTGACAAGTGTTTGAAAAAATTGTATCAATTTTCACCATTTTTTTTTCACTTATATTGAAAAAAAGACGCCCTAAGACAGCCTAAGACCCATTAGGCATTCGGTCTTAGGCTGATAAAACCAAATGAAATAGGAATTTTGTTTCGATATTTTGTATTCTTGAATTTATGAACAATTTATGTAGTTAAAAAAAATACGATTTTTTGAACCTCCTAATGTGGTTTTCACCTTTAAAGAAAATATGTTTTCTTGTTTTAAAAAAACTTTCTGGAATTTTTGTACGAAAAATCATGGCTTTTGAAATTTTGTTTATGTTTATTGTTTTCCTTTTTCAGATATGGACCTACAGAACAACTGAAGTTTGTAGGAATTGAAAGAGAAATGGAATTTTTGTAAGACTTTTTTTTATACACTGCTTTTATTTTAATTATTTTATATTTTAACACTGATTTGTGTTCTTTTTGTGTATACATAATTGAAACATTTTATTATATATTTTGTTTTATTTATTTCCTTAATAAACAAATTTCACAAATCAAAAAATTTTGTTCCAGTTTAAGTAAATTCAACACCATATACAGGGTATAACTAGTGGGGGTCAGTTTTTTAGGGGTAATAGTACGTGTTCCCCAGAATACGAATCTGAAATTCCTGTTTTTCTTAATCAAATAATTAGTTTTTTAAAATGCACTTTAATACTTATGTTCGCCGCCATTGTAATATTCATGTATTACAAATACATGAATTGTAGGCAACCTACAGTGCATGTGAAGGGAGATAGTGCGGGTCAACAGTGACGAAGTGAAGGGAGTCAGTTGTTGCTCCGTATTTGGAGACGGTGAATTTGAATGTTTTTCATCACTGGAAGCCAACAACAATACATTTTTATGTATTTCATTTATCACATCGGTGATTCTGGTCCTTACCTTGGATTTCAGTCATTCGAGAAAATAACTGCACACATATATGTTGTGCCAAAAAGTGATATCACTTTCAGTGCATGATCTCTGATTTTAAGAAAGACTGAAATGGGGACGTATTTAGAATAAAACTCGAGCAAACCTAAATTCAATTTATCTTTCAAAGTAGAGTTGCACTGTAATTATCAATTCCATCTAAACTACTTCAGGGACATCTACAGAAACACTGAATGAGTGAGCAAATTCAGATACTTTCAGGCACCAAGCTATTGCGTGTTGCAGACCTTTGATCTAAATATTCCACGAACTGTGGGCAAAATAACCAAGACGCGGCTAAGCCCTATTAACGGCTTTTGAATACGGGCGGTATTTTGCCGATCATTTATACCGATCGGCAAAATAACCGACAAAATTTTAAATTACACAGTTAAATATATTTTTACACCAAAATCGTTGCTGGCAAGTTTGGCAGTCGGCTGCAGATCGGTAAAACAACGCTCATGTGTAAGGGGGCTTACCGCCCGTGTGTAAGAGCCTTTTTACGTTGATAATAGCCGTATTTGTTTTACCACTTGGTTAGTTCAGTTTGGTCAAATTGACCAACCTAGAAATGATCGGGATTTGAACTAACTTTACGTTAAACAAAACACACATCTACTCCATTTTAAATTTTGATACTGTGCCCAACATATTTACAATCAACATATATTCTTCGGATGAATCCATATCAACGGCTTATTTTTATGATTTAGATTTATGATTATTATTATTTGTAGGTTATGTTTTGTCCGGTTATCTTATTCACTTACTAACCACGATATTAGGCTAGGTTAGATCGGAAAGGGGGGTGATTTTGGTCATATTTTGATTTGTTCACTTGTTTAAAAAAAACGAACTTGTTCAGAACTCTACTGAAAGTGAATTAACCAAAGTGACCAAGTGTGTAAAACAAATACAGCTGATTTATTGATGAATTAATTCATGAAGTCGCTTCATCAAGAAATTGGATAAGTGTATTGCACCAAATCTGCTGTCAAATAACTTCATGAAATTATTCATCAAGTTCTTGACGAATTAGAACATGTTTTAATTTTCGTCAATTTATTGAATGAAGTTCAGAAGTGCCAACCAATAAATTTCCAGATTAGATGAGTAATGAGGTTATGTTATTGGGATATGTAAATACATGTGTGGCGTCATACTAGTTTTGTGTTGTTTGTATTGTTTTACTGATTGTGTCAAAACAGTACCATTCACTACAATTATGAGTAGAAAGGTGACATTTTTTATATTTATTTGCTTTTTTGATTTGTTGGTATAGCTGATCATTTGTCAAAGAAATTCACAAAGTCTATAGCAGTGTAAAACCAAACCGTTTACAAATAAATTCGTGAACTAATTCATGAAGAACTTGGTGAATTTATTCATGAATAAATTACCCATGTAAAGCAGTTTAAGGCAGTCAAAACGACCGTATATTGCCCCAAGTATTTTGCAAACAAAAGGATTGTGGGGAAGACAGTTAAAACAATTACGATATAGACTGTCCATTTAAGAAGCTGAGTAAAAACCACTCTCTGCATGTCGTATGCGGCCAAAAAACAAAACGGTTACGCCACGCCCTATTAAGACCCTACACTGCCCAGAATAAGTACTTGGCAAAATGTTCGCGGGCAAACTAGACCCTCTAGACTTTCCACTTAAGGTGAAGTTTGCATTTCAAACAGTCTAAAAACCCTGCTCTGTATGTACCATCGCATGCGAGCTATCAAAATAAAGTCAAGGACAGCTAAGAGAAAAGAATTATGAAATAATTTTCTTTTTAGTCGATCAATGAATATGCGTCTCCTATTCTCAATGTCACGAGCCGTCACTGTAATTCTTTTAGACAGTATAGTGTGATTTTTTTGCTGGTTTTTAGCACTAACTACGCTCGACATAATTACACACAATTAGGCATCAAAAGACTACTAAAATCGTAAAAGAAGTCGTTCGACTACAGGGAAATCGGTGACTAAATCGACAGCTAAGCAGCTCGCGTGACTGATTGACGGCGCCAATGGCTAGCGGACCGATTGTGACAGCTCAAGTCATTTATAAGTGGTGTTTTATAAACATGAATCATAGAAGGTCGGATATGCGAAGAATAATTATGTTCTCAACACCTGATTTACGGTAGCTGACTTTCTTTTGCGATATCAAATATCTATAAAGGAAGTTACTAATAAAATAACTTCTCTCGTGTCGTTCTTAAATTATTCACTTATGTCTATGGGACATGCCACATTAAGCCAGCAAGCGGAACAGATTTATAGCCGTCGTTATCATCTCTGATTGCTTGCAGACGGATCACGTAGATATTAGTACCCCCCACAAGAGGGGACGCGACGCCAACCATCCCGTCGGCGGAGATGGCATCCAGCTCCACGACTCGAGAGTGAAAACCCACCAGTTGATAGCCGGCCGGCGCCGGTATCGGACATCAGACGACGCTCTAGCGCGCCGCGACGCCGATTTACTCGCGACCCGCGTGTTTCTGTGTTTACAAACTGGTGGTCGACGACAAATTTGGAATTTAGGCATGAAGATGAGTAACCAAGGTAGGATGTGTGAAATAATGTAAAAAATTGTTGCATTTGCATGGTTTCAAAAAGTAATGTAACAAATTTTTAACAATTCAGAGGGAAAATTTTAAAAAAATAGAGAGAGAGATTAATACATTTTATGTAATATTTAATATACTATTTAAAAAGCTTAGCTCTCTTGAAACATTTTAACGTTTGTTGTAGAAATATTTTTGACACCCTGTACATTAAGCATAACATTTACCATATATTTGAAGGAATTATGGAAAAATTTGAGAAACTTATTTTATTGAAAATCAAAGTAGCTATTACTCGATTTACTTTCTTGGCCAATATGATAAAAATAAAGTTTTATTTAGGAATTTCGCCACGTGTGAAAAAGAAAACAAATAAACAACTCTTTGAGTAAATTCTTAAGAGCGGCACAAAGTTTTATTTATTTATTTTTATTTCTTTCAAATATTGTGACAACATATCAGTTAAGCAAAAATAAACAGAGCTAAATATCATTGAATCAAAAATAATTTTTCAGACTCGATGACCTACAGATATATTTTCTTATTAAATTTATCTTTAATTGTCCACAAAAACATTATCAATATCTCAAGCAAGAAATACATTTAAATATACCTATGACATTCATTTTTCCAGCGCTATCTTTTACAGTTTTTGAGATATCTAACTTTTTTCATGAGATGCAAGTATGTAATACTATAAATAGCTTTTACATCTCTACAATAACGAGAATAAGTACAAGTACATAATATTAACGTCATATAAAAGTGTGAGGTGCAATTACATTGAAAAATATCGCGGGAGTCAATTTGAAATGCAACTAATAATTATTATTTTTGTAGCTAAAAAATATTTGTAGACATTCTTAACCATAAACTTAATGATATTTCTATATCAACATTAAAATAACCACAATTGAGGCGGAAAATAATAAAAAGAAGGAAATGGTATTGATTTTAGCGTTTATATTTTTCTGAAAGAATGAATTCCCACATGTGTTTAAAGTAATTAAAATGACGCCACAACATGTGTGTATATAGCCACTATTTCAAGGAACCGAGCCCGCCACAAATGAGGTCATTGTTTCCTAAATTTGTTTAATTTAACATTTTAAACATAATGTTTGATTATACGTGGTTATAAATATGATATTTTTATGGAAAAATGTCATTTTCTTCATGTAAAAAATTTTTTGGATTTGACTTAGTAGAATACCTCTAAAATAGAGTAATAATTACGAACATTGACAATAGAATATGTCTTTTAAGAAGATATTTATTAAAAAGGGCAAATATTTCTTAGAATGTTTCCATTAGATAACAATTTCGTTATATCAGGTATGTGTTTTTGTATCTAAATATAATTAGATTATTAGTTTTTATTATAATTATACGCCAAATTTGATTAATGTTGTTTAAAAATTTATTCGAATATATGGCGAATGCGCCAGTAGTTAAAAAACCCGAAACAAATATTAACTGTAGCATTTTATTTTGCAGTTAGGGAAGTTCTGTTCTCACATTATCAGAATATCCCGGCAGTTGTAAAAATATACAGATACACAGAATAAAAAGTAAAACAAATAAACAACTTCTATAAATACATATTATGCAAAATAGTTAACGTCAGTTTCATTTCAGTTTCAGATGTAGATTATAGATAATAATTATAATGTTATTAATATCTTCTTAAAATTAATTTTTTCTTATCATAAGTTCGGTAATTGTTAAAACAATGATATTTCTCTTTCTTGAGCACGTGTACATTGACAGTAAAAGTTTGATTGAGATATTAAACTATATTATGGTTTAAATTTGTTTATAACTGTTACACGATTGTAAAACTTACAAGGTTAGTTTATAAATTAAAGTTGGTTTATGTAACGCAAGGAATATCAATAAACTTGAAAGCTATTTAATTTCCCAAAATCCCAACGGACATTATAATAATGTATTGCCTAGCTAGGAATTCTACATATCCAAAACCAAAAATGACGTATTTAAGAAAAATGCAAAACTTGCCGAGGTATTTTCGATTCACTTACCGGGAAATAATTATTCGATAAATTGTGTTACTTTTTCCCGAGATAATCATTTCTCTATCTCTTTTTTCGAGACAGCAATGCTGTTTCTAATTGAACTAAATTAAATTGAAATTAAATTCATTAGGAACTTTTACTCTTCATCTGAAAACTTCGGTTATTCAAATTCTACAATTTTCTCAATTCTGTAAAAACTACTTACTAAATAAAGGTTGCAAGGGTTAAATAACAAAGACCTAACTAGTAGTTACTTACACTTACTTCGTTCAGATATAAATATAATTATCACTGTGATTGTTTAAGAAACTTACTTGAGTTTTTGACATAATAACATCATGAAGAATATAGAGATTCAAACTATTTCAGACAAACCCTTTTTTGACACTGATTTTTCCAAACAAGTGCAACAAATTAATAATTACAGACAGTAGTACTAAAATTCTTATTCGATTAATTCAAAACGATTTTTTACGAACTGTCAAAATTTGTTGTTCCAAAATGGGTCATAAATATTTGTTAATGAAACTAAACTATCCAATCCAATCCGTTAATAACCAAACGTTTTCTATGCTATATATTTTATGGTTATCGGGGGTGGATATACCACAAATAAATTATTCATTAATCCAGGCACATTTTACATATTTAGTTTATTTAAAAATAAAAGGGTTTTGCGCCGCTTTCGTGTTTAATTCCGCATACATTATCCAGTAAAATGGTCTGCGGTAGAATTTAGCGACAATTAAACCTGTTTTGAAATTGTCCGCAATTAAAAATGTTACGGTTCTCTAAAAATACGACCTGATTTAATGCCGATCGTTTGGGCTAGAGTCGAGACATTGAAATTTCGTCGTATTTTTAGGCAAGTACGAAGGTGCATCCATTTGTTTATTTGCTATAATTAGACTTGGCAGGAAAATTTAAGTTAATTAATTGCTTACGTATGTCTTATAAAATGTCTCGGACATTCAGAGATAGGGATAAAATAAAATCTCACAATGGTCTTAAAAAGACTCATCTAACATATTTAACAGGTATTTTGTTTTGTTATCTCTTGATTTTCGGTAGTTTTTTGCAAAAAGCAATGTGTCTCGCGCTTGCGTATCAACTGTGATTACTACGCGCTAAAAAATATGTAGCTACTGTTTATTTCGCTATGATTTATAATTTACTTAATAAATTGCGGATTTACTATTTTTATAAAATATTAGGAGCTTTTCCTAAAGAAATATCAGCAAATTACCACATTTTTCCTGTATTTTCCAAGTGCCGAGATTTAATATTTAGAAATATCTCTATTTTCCTTATTATTTTTATCTATGATACAAAAATATCAACTATTAGTCAACTGGTAGTAGGCCGTGGAAATATGATTACGCTATGTTGCCAAAAATGCGTTAAATAAATCGTAGTGGGCATTGGAAAACAAAAAGTAAATTAATTAGGCCTAATTTGAACTAAATTATACAATTACGTAAAACAAATTAAATCATGTAGAACATTTTTTACATTCTTTTGAAACAGGGATGAAAGTGGCTCTGCAAATTTACTAAAACGAAAATTAAACCTACAAAACCGATAGCTTTATTTTCCACTTTTCAGTTCTGAGACTGAAAAAAACTAGCAAAGATCATGCAAATATGACAAATAAATCATGGGGAACCGGGAAATTTTATGGTACAACTTTGCTTATTACTTTGTAGGTATCTTGCAAATTTTCCTTATGTACAACTAGTTTTATATTAATGCGGAACATTACAGGAGCAATTACGGCCATATATCTTAATTACACTGTTCTACCAGTGGCAATAAAAATACCACCTAAATGAAATCTAGCCGCTTCGCTTAATTCCTTAATTAAACTTTAAAGTGAATTCTTAAAAGATTTCTTAATTGGCGCCAAGATGGTGCAAATAATTATACATCAGTTTCAAGCAAAACTGAATATTGGATCATTAGTCGTTTCTATGTAGGTACCTGCCCTCTTTATGCAAGGACTGGACTTTGTTATGTGGCTGAAATACATATTTTCAGTCGTTCTTTCCCGTGAAGGAAAGGATAAATATTTACAAAACTAATTAAAAAGTGCCCTCTCCAGACCAAACTGTATAATTGAACTATGAAAAGTTCTAACGATTTCCAAAATCTGTCTCGAGCAGATAATGTAAATTCGTTTTAGAATTTACAACATAGTTAAGAAATCTACCTTTTCCTCTTACAATTTTTAAATTCCACCTGATGGGTACATTTCTAAAGGGTTAGTTTTAATATATATGCAGTTATTTTCAAAAGAATAATTTCAGTATACATATGCAAAGGGGAATCAAACTGTTATGCAGATCAAAGTTTTGCTGTAGTAAACAAACACTGGCCTTCATAGTATTATGAAGGCCAGTGAGTCTCATATAAGGTATGGCACCTTACGACGATGAATTTTTTGAAATAAATTATAAATGCATTAAAAAAATTTGTAAGTTATCCAATACGTAGTAATAAGTTATAAGAAAGTGTTTGTATAAGTTAAGGAAATTAATTATATTCACGTCCAACATCACAATTTGTCACTTTTATTACATTCAAACAAAATGAGATCTATTTTCTTGATATGTTTCTTTAAGATACATTAATTTAAAAAATGGGGAATTTATCATACGTAGGTACTACTGAACTTGTTTAAGTGAAGTGTGTATTTACATGATTCGTGGCAAGATGAGTTATAGTGCCGCTAAAACGTTCCGCAACACGAGCCCCGTTATTCTCGTATTAATATCAAACTGTAGCAAAAAATTTAATTGCCATGCACTTAATTATCGATTAAGTGGATGTTAAATTAAAGACTTGTGTTTATTAAAGCGTGACAGGCTGGTAAACGGATTTGTGTTGCATAATTTTCGCCACATGGCTGATCAGGATCACTACGGCTACAGAGTGAATTCCTCTGTCAGTATGAAAGCTGTAA